TCTACTGTATTGTTGCTCCCGAGCTTTCTCCAAATCGATGGAACGTGCTGGAAATGTTGGAAAAACGAACAATTTCCATGATCTGTCTGTGGGGAATCATGGGAATTGTTGGTTTTACCAACATTTCCAAAAATTTCCATGATTCCCGAAACTATGGCGCGGGCTCCCGAGGTTTTTCCAAATTCATGGAAATTGTTGGAAATGTTGGTAAAACCAACAATTTCCATGATTTCTCTGAGGGGAATCATGGAAATTGTTGGTTTTACCAACATTTCCAACAATTTCCATGATTCCCGAAACTATGGCGCGGGCTCCCGAGGTTTTTCCAAATTCATGGAAATTGTTGGAAATGTTGGTAAAACCAACAATTTCCATGATTTGTCTGAGGGGAATCATGGAAATTGTTGGTTTTACCAACATTTCCAACAATTTCCATGATTCCCGAAACTATGGCGCGAGCTCCCGAGGTTTTTCCAAATTCATGAAAATTGTTGGAAATGTTGCCAAAACCAACAATTTCCATGATTTGTCTGAGGGGAATCATGGAAATTGTTGGTTTTACCAACATTTCCAACAATTTCCATGATTCCCGAAACTATGGCGCGAGCTCCCGAAGTTTTTCCAAATTCATGAAAATTGTTGGAAATGTTGGTAAAACCAACAATTTCTGGTTTTTACCAACATTTCCAACAATTTCCATGATTCCCGAAACTATGGCGCGGGCTCCCGAGGTTTTTCCAAATTCATGGAAATTGTTGGAAATGTTGGTAAAACCAACAATTTCCATGATTTGTCTGAAGGGGGATCATGGAAAGTGTTGGTTTTACCAACAACTTCCATTATTCCCGAAACTGCGGCTCCGGCTCCCGAAGTTTCTCCAGATCCATGGGAATGGTTGAACATGCTGGTTTCGCCAACATTGTCCACAGTACTACATATTTCAATACGTTGTTACCGAAAATTGCGATTGAGCAGATCTTACGTACTCGTGCGAGGCGTTTTGCAGACAAGCCGGTAAGGTATTTGCATCCTTGATTAAACTCACTAGCTGGTCCAACACGAAGCTAAGTAATTCATAGTCTCCGCTTGAAGACACTACTGTGGGAACACCTGTTCATGGGTTTTCTGTTTATCACGTACAAGGCTGTACTCCATGTCTAAGATTCAAAAATTTATTATAAGAAAGCTATTGCTGCACGACCAATGCAAGCTTACCTGGCTTAATCACCCACTTCTTAAGATAAATGTAGAAGGATCTACTTATGTTGCTTGGTGTTTGCATGGGGGTCTCTGGTCGTTGTGGTTGTGTATTGTTTTTTGGTGTGGCACTGGTGCTTACAAAAAAACAAAGAGCCCGTAGTCAAAAGACTACCATGTGTATCAGAATTCTGACATACATCGTTGTCAACTTGTCATCATTTGGTACGTGCAGACTTTCGAAAACGATTCTGCGACCAATAAAATGGATATTAGCTGTATGATGCACGCACTTTTGATGAACTGCACTCGGATTAAACATGTCGAAGTCACCTGACGTGAAAAAACTATAGTCGAACACATTAACTACAACATACAACCTAGCGTGTAACACGCAGCCCCGGCGTGTTGGATCATGTTTGATTTGGAAGACTAACAACTCACTCTCAGCAGGTAAAAAGCAAGCGCAAATGTGTGACTTGGTTAACCATCATCCTACCAAGAAGTGTGTTGAAGCACAAGTGTACGTATTCACGTGGTGCTCTCTGGTAGGTTTATACTCAACTTAGCAGGGAGTATAAAACACAGGACTCAGCAGGTACTTCATTTACTTCATAATGCTTGGCTACTTTTAAGCAAGGTTCCCGAACAATATACGAAGCAGTCTGAATGAACAATCACAACAGTAATTGACAAAGTAAAATTTGATGCAGAAATTAAACAAGCCGGGTGATACATGGTCCTAAATGGCCTGGTATTGGTGAAGTATGATAACCACTGTAACAGGAATAATGGCAATTTACAAGATGTGATAACAACACTGTGAAAGGTAATATTGAAACCACACATTGACATTTGAGCTCGATATAGAAGAACAGAACATGTAGCAGTTTCATGACTGGGAAAAGAAACGGAGATCGGATTCCTAAGGCAATGGAGACTATACTTGCAGTAACAATTGCGAAGCTTACACACACCATCGTGAAACACGATTTCATACTTTTGTCGCTATTGACTGCTAATTTGACAGACACGCATGAATCATTGTACAGTGCTGCGGAGACTAAAGGCTTTGACAAGTATACTGACACTATATGACACTGCTTTAGGCTTATTCCATATATGGCTGTATGAACCAATGAACACAGCAATTCGTGTGAGAGACTGCAACACCCACCACAGCAATGACATTGTTGCCTGTGTAAAAAAAACCATAACGACAGCCAATTAAACATAGCCACTATCCACCTTGATCCGAAATCTGCGTGCATGGCCTTGGGGATGCTACAGTATCACCTCTATGCCGTGCAAAGCTCTTTCTCTTACTGGGTTTCAGTAGGCCTGCTTCGCCATACCCTGCAGTTTGTCACACTCGCTCACTACTAGTACTATATGTCGGCTTATCGCGACCATGCGCGTGCACTTGCAGCCTTTTCTGTCCGACTTCCTTCGTGCTATCAGCACAAAGACGAAAAACCTGGGTACCTGAGGGGGGGGGTAGCATATATATATATATATATATATATATGGTCACCCCCCCCCAAGATCCACACCCGCCTCTTCCTTGCTATTCCACAGGTTGTTTCTCTACATTGGTCGACAACTCATATATAGCGAAAACACCGTAAATACCGATACAATCGTGCCTTACCTCATGTGCATGCAAGCCGTGCTGCTGCAAGGCGCGGGTTTGATATGTGTAAAAATCTGGCGCCGAATCTCGGCCGCGGATTTATTGTAGTTTATGTGTTGGAGAAGCTGAAATGCTGGAGGGCGTGCTAATTTTGTTCATGTAATACTAAAAAACCTAGTGTTTTTTGCATTTTATGGTGTGTTATTTATCAACATTCCTCTAATAATAAAAATACTATTGTCTCTCTTACGAAGACGTCTGCGTGCGTGGGCCATCTCTTTCCCGCTGCTCGTGAAGCGTCCGATTCTGATGCGGCCTAATCGCTCTAGCATGTGATTTAAGAGTTACCAAATACAAAGAGCTCCGTTCATGTCCTGTCCATTATACATGAAGGAAGTCGAATATACAGGTGCGTTTCTTTTTGAAGCAATACTGCAATAGTTGTTCTTTGCTTCATAAGAAATGGGAAAGCTCCCCTGGGGTTGAAAAGTTCATGTGCATATGCGGGCGCACAAGAAGGCTCGTCTGCAGCAAGAAGTAAGAGAGCTTTTGCAACCTTCCAAACATGAAGCAAGACTAATTACGACTCTTCTCCGGGGTATAGAACAGCATGAATAAGAGTTAACTGAATGAAAACTCATGTATCGTAGGAAACCGACTAGGAAGTCTGCCTTGTTTCTGATGATAGCAAAATGCAAACCGTTTCATACAATCTTCAACATGAAATGAAATAAGTTCTGGATAGGCTTGCGATTATTACACTGTTGGATTTGCAGGCGGTGAAGCTCGCCGAAGAAGGGCCAAAGCCATTTTCGAGAAAGCTCAGGTACTAGAGCCAGTGCCGCTGCCGCCATAGATCTACCAACCTCCGAAAACATACATGAAATAAACTATGTAACGACTAGGCTGGCCTTGTTCATACTTATCAAACCAGAGTAATGAAAACCTTTGCTGTCCCAGAAGACATACAAAATAGTACTTCCAGTCCCTGACAACGGTTGTAAGCACACAATTATCTTGTGATACGGTATATCAGTACATCCTGTCTTGGACATCAGAAAACACTGTAATGCTCAAAAAAATCCAAAATTTCCAACCCTAAAAGTCACGAAACACTGTAATGCTCAAAAAATTCAAAAAATTCCAAAATTCTGGCATCTATGGCCAGGACGGGGGCAAATTCCTTAAAACTTTGGAATTTTTTGAGCATAGCAGTGTTTCGTGAGCCTTGCGGCTGTGAAAAGTTGATTTTTTTTGAGCATTACAGTGTTTTGCGAGTTTTAAACCACGAAACACTGCTATGCTCAAAAAAAGTAAGCTTTTGGGCTGTGAAAAGTGCCTTTTTGTGAGCATTACAGTGTTTTGTGAGTTTGGGGTTGGAAATTTGGAATTTTGTGAGCATAGCAGTGTTTCGTGGTTTGAAACTCACAAAACACTGTAATGCTCAAAAAAAATCAACTTTTCACAGCCTCAAGGCTCACATTTTTTGAGCATAGCAGTGTTTCGTGGTTTAAAACTCACAAACACTGTAATGCTCAAAAAAAATTTCACTGTTTACAGCCTCCAAGCTCACGAAACACTGCTATGCTCAAAAAATTCCAAAGTTTTAAGGAATTTGCCCCCGTCCTGGCCATAGATGCCAGAATTTTGGAATTTTTGGAATTTTTTGAGCATTGCATGTTTCGTGAGTTCTGGGGTTGGAAATTTTGGAATTTTTAAGCATAGCAGTGTTTCGTGCGCCCCATGCCCCAAGAACCACGATGGCGTGGATCTTGGGGGGGGGGGCGAGCATATATATATATATATATATGTATGTATGTATGTATGTATGTATGTGTGCTCTCGACGTATGACGTATGCTGACGTCCCACAAGACCTCCTGTTTTGCACGCACACCGGATGCCCCCTGCCTTCTCATCTCCCTGGTTGATTCCCAGCGCCGCGTTCGCCGTGCTCAGCGCCCCGCGCGGAAGCCCGAGCTTCAGCGCCTCGCGGAGAATCTTTGGCGGCTTGGCTTTCTTGGCTGAGAGGGTCACTTGAGTCGTTGAGGTCGATCAGAGGCGCGTTCGAAGCTGCAAGCCAGTTGTCTTGAAGCCCTGTGGCTTGGGGCTTGGTGATTCAAGCAAGCCAAGTTCTGGACTGGTGGAAATCCGAAGGATGTCAAACCTCGTCATCGTTCTCCTGCTCCTTCTCCTCCACTCATGACCGGCATAATCATCGCCGTCGTCACCCCAATCATCCCTCGTCATCACCAGCAGCGGTGCTAGCAGCGGCAGCGACAGATCAACCCCAACAGAAGCATCCGAATCTCGCGACCCTGGCTGATCTGTCGGGAAACGGCCGCAGACCGGTTCTTCAGAAGCTCCGACCGGAGCTTCGCCACCGGGCCACCCCCAGGTGCGGGTGCCAAGAGCTTCTGGCCCTGCCAGAAATGCCACAAAGCCTCCAGGGATGATCACACTCAAGCAACTCCTCCACCTTTAAGCACTGAGTTAGCGTTAGTGACGGAACCTTGTCGAAACGCTCCTCGTTGAAGGCGACGACTCCGAGGTGACGTTCCTCTTTACCGTCCTGTCTCGGGCGAGCTAGAGATCTTCGGAAGTGGGCCCACCCTTTGCGCCTAGCGGTCTGCGGATACGCAACGATATTGGGTTTAGGTGACGATGATGATGATGATGATAATCGTGACTTGCGACGTGCCACCGGCACAACGCTTCAAGAGAGAGCCATCAGGTGCATCACCCTCCACAGCAGCCGTCTTATGTCGACCAAGCGGAGCTCACGACTCAGGCCTGATGCCCGACCGGTCCCTCACAGTGATTCTGCCACTGCTGTTGTCCCTCTCACGAGTCGAAACCCCCTCGACTGCACCAGACTCAGACTATTAGACGCAAGTGCGATAACAGCCAGATCTTCACCCGTTGCAGCTGAAGAACAAACACATGGAAAAAGGATGTAACTGTCAATTGTCACGCTAGTCCTGGATCAACTTCGTTACTTCGTCACTCGGCAGCGTGCCCTGCTCCTGAGCTTGGGCCAAGAGGTTTGGGGGCTTCTTAAGGCTGTGATAAAGCGTGGCGGCATCTTTGCGAACGCTGACAGGGCAGTTCGAAAGCTTCCGGACAGTGGGATTCGAGCTGGAGGTGTGCGAGGAGACTGATATCAGTCTCTAGAGACCCTTCAAAAGATGACGCAATGCGAAACCCTTCTGTGGCGAGGCACAGGAAGAGGGTCCAAGAGCTTCCACATCCACTCCTCTGAAGTCGAGGCGCCTTTGACGGTCCGGAGCTTCGGATGGAGATCTAGGGCTTTTCAGTTTGGAGCAGACGTTTGGCTTCTTGGTTGAAGCTGCTCGGAAGAAGTTTCATTGTCAGCTTGAGTTAAAGCCTTCGGCGCGGCACTGCAGAGGCCCCGAGCTTAGTAGAACTGACCAGTATTCGTAAGAATGCCATCAAGTTCCCGGTCTTCGGAGATCTTTCCTCCCAGCAAACTTTGATGTCCACTTTGCCATGAAGCTTCACGAAGCCCTACCGTAAGAGCCTAAGACTCCTACAGTAAGACCGCAGCACATCTGTCGGAGCGGTCCGAGGCACTGTCCAAGTCCCCGCTGTCGCAGAGGACCCGCAGGGTCTCCACATCCGCGCGGAGGTCCTGAACAGGTCTCGCGAGCTTGGGGCGCTTTGAGTGGCGACGAGAGCAATGCACAGAGGCACGCAACACTGCAAAACGGCCTCTCTTCAAGGGCCGATGGGCCCCAGTGAAATCCCAAGCAAGGAGCGAGGAGAGAGGTGTTGGGATGTTACCGAGGAGAGGTCTGAACCTTTTGAGCTCAATCATGCTAGGCCAGGACCCTTCAGTGCCTCAAACCCGATTGGGTCTGCCACAGTCGATCGCGGCAGCCAGGTCTAAGGAATTGAACATCAGCCTATTCTTCTTGTTCACATATCTCGTCTACCAGGGTCCTCCTACTTCAAAAAATGTCGCATCTGCGACATCTGTAATTTATCTTAGGTCTTAGCTCTCTTGAAGGCCGAACTTCCCGAAGTCTACGCCTCAGGGTCTGCCACTTTCAGCCGTTGCAAGGACTGGCATCGTTCAGGGTCCCTTCCACCTTGGGGTCCCTGGGAGCAATCGGCGTTTTATTCTGGAAGTGCTGCGGAGGCAGCGTTGCAGCAAGAAGCGTTTCAGGCCAAGTGTCTGGATCTCGGAGCATCACTGCCACGGGAACGCCCTTCTCTGTTGCCTCCGTTCCGGCGTCGTAGATGTGCCACTGGACGAAGCAGTATTTCCTCGGGCGCTCGGAGCTACATTTTTGTACTAGAACTTAAACAGACAAGCTCCGTTCGCACTCACAGATGGCTCTTGTCACAATTGCGATACCTGTGCACCCGACATTATGATTTTGCATAGCATCGCCTCTATTGGGAAGTTTCGCTAAAGTGCAGTGAACCGCAGCCTGCAGAGACGACGCTAGCTTGAGCGAATACGACACTGGTGAGACCATACCGTTGGACCAGCAAAAACAAGAAGAAGCAGTGAAATCCTGGACAACGACCTCAGTAATATTTTGCTTGGCTTTTCGGATCGATGCAACCGGGCTTCCACATGGGTGCCAACTTTGTGCGCATGTCGTCCGATGCATCTTCCACATAGTCCAATGCCTTGCGTATGCGCAATGGGATAGATGCGGTAGGGCTACTACGACTCCTATTTGCCTTCTAAGTCTTGACGACGATGAGGAAGACCGTAAACATGGGTACCAACAACTAAGCGAACAGCTGCATGATGACGATGCGGACACTACTCAACACATGCGAGGGCAATGCTGGTCATTTACGATGATGCTGTCCGTGGTGACGACGATATTGTTGCTTCTGTTGGTGTCGATGAAGCTCCCGCGGGGGTGGGGTGTGCGAATGAAGTATGCACGGCAAACAACAACTCATAGCTTAAGTCTTTGGTACAGGTATGGCTGTCAGGAGCACCGTTCTCGTCGTGCAAGTGCGTGTGCCATCGCTCCGCGACACTCATTCCGGGAGCTTAGTGCTTCCTGACCTGGCCTGGCGCTGCTTCTCGACGGCCAGCTCGTGGGCCTCTTGATTCCTTTGCTGCTGCAGGTGCTGCGTCTCTCTGCATATCCCTTTGTCTGCTTTGTCGGGGAGGAAAGTAGCGCAGTCGCAAGAGATGCGAAGATTTAATAGCCAAGGAATCACGACAAACCCCCTCTCCTGGCAGCTCGAACCACTGAAAAAACCAAACGAGAACTCAACGAAATGCAGCGATGATGCAACCAAGATTAATAGACTAGAACTAGAGCTACTGTTCTCCACCAAAAAGAGTTTTACGCTGACAGAACCAAGGCGTCAGGATCATGGGATCGCTGTCCCATCTGTTCTTGCCAGACTTGTCCATGCACAGTTTCAGAGCCCGATCCCATCGCAAGAATCTCATGCCGGGCGATACCGGACTGGACAACGGAGGGTCCACGGGGCGGTGCAGCCGATCTATCCTAGAGCGGTGACTGGCTTGGGTGAGTGCATGTGAGGGGGCTAGTTCCTTGATTTGTGCTCAGAACCCTGTGCTTCGCATCTAACGTGTCTCCGAGGACGTTCGTGAAGACAGCGGCGAGGAAAGCATTGTGCCGAAATGATGACATGTCTTCGCTCAGTACAGAAGTGCATATGCTCAGCGCGGCCATTATTGCAGTTCGCTAACGCAAGACTTCAATGCCTGATAAAACCCTCCATCAAACTTCCTGGTGCAAGCTTCTCCCCAAGGATAATCTGGCTTCCTTCCTGGGCGTCAGCATGGGAACTTCGCGGCCTTTTGTCATGCAGAACACAGCAAATTCCGCGCAGGGCTAGCTACTTCTACTGTCCTGTGTGATTGCGGTGACCGTAGTTGTCCTTATGCCGAGTCTCAACAATTCTTTCAGCCAGTGGGATCAACAATCCGATACACATAATTATAACCGCTCATTCCAGTCTAAGTCTTGTTTGAAGCAATGGAATCTCATGCACGGCCACTACTTATGGAGCTCTCGTTGCTGCTCTCTTATGCACCTGTTGGACTCATCGTGGACCAGGCAGAGGTGAGACATAACGCGGTTCTCAATGGATGTTCTCGAGCTCCGCTTTCCGCTCTCCTCGCGATAAAGTCATCTCAAACCGCAGAGGCTAAGATTTCGGGGCTTGGGAACAGCAGGCGTTGTCTGGAAACGCATGTATCCAACAGCACTTAGAACCCGTAGTCCGACAAGCTGCAAAACCCAAGACCTGCAGCCCCTGACATAACGTTCGAACTCACTCCAGGGAGATGAGAGCAGCTCCGTATTTGTGGTGAAAGCGCTCGGCCAAGAAGTGGAACCTGAGCCGTGCCAGGCGTTGGTTTCGGGCCGTCATAGACTTGGGGAGCCGGGCTCGGCCTCACATCATCCACAGCACGGGAACCAAGTCAGCACCAGCATCATCCAGTCAGATTCTCACAGTTCTGTGGATTCCAAAACGGCAGCTGAGGTTGCAGCTAGCAGACGAGGGGATTCATAAAACTCAACGGCAATTTGTCTAAGCTCCAGGCGGAGCATCGACGATCCCTTTCCCAGAGCACGTCTCGAAGAACCTTGAGACAAAGAGGGCATCTCGAAAGGCAGATCAGGCTCAGCCCAACGTGGATGCCCTGTGTTCATTGGATAGTCCAGAACTCTTTGCTATCCTGAAAGGCTGTTGCCTGCAAATGCTTATCGTCGGAGACCCTCTCGGATACAACAGTGGACATGACAGGAATCATCGGTCATGCAAAGGCCCGAACTCCAAGCCTCTCTCGCCACTGAACTGGTGTCCCTGCAGGGAGAAACAAGATGCAACGATTCACTTTCGGAGCTCGGAGGTTCAAACGAAGAAGCGCAACAGTAGCACCCCGTCCGTGGCAAAATGTGACAAATCCAGCCTGCTCCGACGACACGCAGCCCGGTCGATCAAGCAGGTCCGTCTTGGTGGCGATAACTACCTGTGGAGTATCTTCCAGACTGGAGACTGGAAGCCTCGAAAACCCAATGTGCTCACATTTCAAACCCCCAAGCAGTCAGCAGTCATGGGGCTCCCGCTCCCGAGATGGCGCTGTCGCCCCGGGCGTGCTTCAGCTGGGCGTACCTCGAAGAGGTATCATCTCAAGTCACACCACGGAATCTCAGCCCGCGACCCTGAAGACTACATGCCGAAACCTTGCCAAAGCTCTCGGCCTCGGCCTGCAAGGTCTCAAAATCTTACTTCTGAACCTATAGGCTCACCCGAAACCGAAGCATTTGCCGAACCTGATCCTAAGCCGCCTTGCTTGAACTAATCAAACCCTCTACCTCGTGTCTGCTGGGATCAATCCGAGTCAAGTCTTTGGGCAAAGTGGCCAGTCTTCCAGGTGGCCAAAGCTTTCAGGGTTCGAAACATCGTAGACCTGCGGGTTTAGGGTTTGGGTGTCAGGGCTTGTTTCAATAGTCAACTTGCAGTACTTGCAGCCAGTGCGATCCAGAAAGGCAAGGCAGCTAATCACATCATTCATGGTTTCCAGACTTACTCTTTGAGGTCACTTGTTGCATGAAAGTTTAGGCAGGCGATGATCAGGGCTTGCCACTCCTCGCCTCTCTCTCTCTCTCTCTCTCTCTCTCTCACTCTCTCGCTCTCGCTCTCTCGCTCTCTCGCTCTCTCGCTCTCTCGCTCTCTCTCTCTCTCTCTCTCTCTCTCTCTCTCTCTCTCTCTCTCTCTCTCTCTCTCTCTCTCTCTCTCTCTCCTCTCTGAAGCGAGGAAAGGGACCTGCACGAACAAACACCACGTGCGATGAGACAACCGCTACAGAGTCCCGGATTCACGGTGCAGGGCCTTGATGGCTCCGGCTATGTCTTTCATGATGGCTGCTGATTCGGAGGTCGGGCTTCCAGGTTCAGGTCCAAGGCTGCAGGTTTTTTTGGGACACCGGCTTCTGCGTTGAGGCTTCTAGGTTTGGACAGCACCTCAGGCCTGGCTTGGGATTTTCAGGTTTTCAGTGCTGCCTCCCCAGCGCCGCAAACCCGAGCAGTGCAGGTCTTCAAAGCCGATGTAGAGCCGGGCCCCGCCATGCAGCGCCCAGTAGCGAAAAACAACGTCTAAAAAAGGCCCCCAAAAGAAGGAACCGCACGAAGGAGAGATACGTTTTCCACGAAGGCTCTCGCCCAAGGCGTCACCCCTTCCATCCCTTCCCTTCCAAGTAGCGAATGCTCTCGCCCAATCCCAATCAATCTGCCTGACGTCTGCTGAAGGAACGCACCCCCAAGAAACCCCCCGAAAGGACCCGATTGACAGGACCCTAAACCAACGCGGCCAACGCGCGCGCGCTTAGACTCCTTGCGAAGCCTTGCTCTGAAGCTTCGCATCAGACTTCAGACCGTGGCCCTGGCCAGCATCACGGCATTGGCGTTCTCCCAGTGAGGCCTCAGCACGTCCTGGCCAGGAGCCATGAGGGCATACATGCACGGTTACATGCTTGCATACTTAACTCCATCCAGGCGTACGTACAGGGTGATGGGACGTTCACGGAAAGAGGTTCAGCAGAAGCAGCGCCGCTTTCAGCAATGTGCATTGCTTTTTCTCAGGAAGGGGCGGGGTCGCACAGGTTGGCTGTTCAAAGAACCCTCCAACCCAGACCCTAACCCTAAGCCCTGAAGCTAGTTGCCTTTTCCCGAATAAAACCAAGCAACTTGCCAAAACAGCCCAACATAGTTTCCTAAAAAAGCTGAAGGTATTTACTGAACCATGGTGTTCTGAATTTCCCACCTGTTTCATGAAAAGGGCAGGGTTCCGTACGTACGTGTATATGCTACATACTGACCCATTCAGTGTCAGGTGGGGTATTTGTAATACGTGCATGCGTTGAGTTGTATTGCATTTATATAGCAGTAAAATAATATGCCATGTTCAACGTAGTCAGAATACCAAAACCAAGGTAACAACCATAGCTTATTGTGTTATGTTCCACGACTGCTGCAGCATAACATGTCACAGCATATCTTGAGCCTGTTATCTAAGTCGTCATACAGTTTAGTTTTGTTGTTTTTCAGAAACATATCTTAGCACCTCTCGGTCGCTACTGTAGTGGTGCTTTGCGTTCAAGCCCAGATTTCCAGCCACGGCCGCACAATTGTAATAGTGTGTTTGGGGGTATCGTGTGAGGAATTATGCCGATGCTTCTATTAATCAGATGGCTCTGAGCTCCTAAGCCGCGGACCTGGCAAACAGCGAAGCCGCCGCAGTCCACGATATACCTACTCAAGGTAACCCCGAAGCCCTCAAGAACTGCTCCAGGAAGTTGACAGGTCTGGATGCAGATTCCAGGACCGATTGTTCAAGAATGTGAGGGACGTACTGCAAGGCTTCTGCATCAGCCCTCAGGGCTGTACAGGGTCTACGTCTCTGACATCTTCAAGTGCTGCTGATGAAATGCCGTGGTCACGGGCTCTGTAGCTATGTTTGTGGCAACAGTTTATTCTTCCTACTGTCACTACCTTTGTCGCAGCAAACACCTGAGCACTGTGGCTGTGCAACAGAGCTTACTGTGCTCCACCCCCTGCTTTTGCTCTTACTCTGCTTCTTGCTACCGCACAGCTGGTGCTCCTCCTCTACTGCTCCCTCTCCTTGTTTTACCCTTCCGGCTCGCTGTCCTTCTGCTCTTTCCCTGCCCAGCTCACACGAACAAACTCTGATACTACGTGCAGGACACTATAGCAAAGCAATGCTTTCGAACGTCGACCAGTGCGCAAACTCCTGACCACTTCCCCCACAGAGGTGCAGCCCAAGTCACAATTCCACGACGACGTTGGTGTCTGGTATACTCACCTGGCATTTATAGGAGTCCGCGATTTAAGGGGATGACCAGAACGAGGATGAAACGCAGGACAGACGCATCATCCGTTTCGCTTCGCTGATACCAATCCCTGGGTTGGAGTAGCCTTGGGTCGGTTAGCTTCTTTGAAGGATCACGGCTGGAAGATGCTGATGCTATGCTGCTATGCGTCCAGGCTCAAAGAGGCAGCTCAAAGAGCTGCCAGCTCTGAGCCTTCCCGCCCCGGCCGCCCCGGCCCTGCAAAAGGAAGCGCCCTCAGTCCCTCAGGTGACCCTTTTGACGAGGAAGTCGATACCGATCGTCATGTTGTAGTTCTTCGGAAAGCTTTGCGCGCCCCCCTGGCACCACGGAGATGTCTTCCACATGATTCCAAGTTCCGGGTTGCTTTTGTGGGGGTGTTACAAAACTGCCTTTTGTGCGGGTTCATGCTCCACTTGACACTCTGACGGAACCAGCAAGCAGGAACAACGACTAAGAAGGAAGCCTTCGCAGCTCTGAGGAGCTTCTCTTTTATGGCTTTGAACTGCTGCCTAGCCGACCAGAAGCACCCGAGCCTAAATTGAAAATCTACAACTTGGTCCGACTCAACGGCCGGCATCCCAAAGCTCCGACACTCAGCCTACCCTTAATGTGCTGAGCGAAACCGGACGGTCCAATCGCTCTCGATGATTCCCCCCCTGTCCCTGTACCCGCAGAATCGACGGAACGGGCCCAAATGGTGCGGGTACGCTCATGGGTGACCAGCAACAGCCCGAATCTCCACCCAACGCGACTGGACTCTGAGGCCGCTGCCTGGAAAACTTGTGCCAAGGAGGTCTTTCCTGCAAACGTCTGCAGCATCCGAGACTGCTGCTAGCTGACTCCAAGTGCCATCCCCAAGATTGGAGCCAAGAGAACGAGCAACAGAGAGAGAGAGAGAGAGAGAGAGAGAGGGGGGGAGAGAGATGGAGAGGCAGAGGGAGAGCGGGAGAGGGAGACGGAGAGGGCCAGGGAGCGAGAGTTCCGTGGTGGGGCCCGTTTCTGTTCCCATGAGCTTCGGGTTCTCGCATTTGCAGAACTGTAAAAGGCTCACATTCGAGGTTTCTTCTTCCCTTCACACGAACAGCAGTTATGGACCAGAGTGCGCGACCAGAAAACCAAAGATCCCGTGTAAACAGCGTCCCATTACAAGAGATACAAGCGGTGAGAGTCGAAAATGCCAAACACAAACCAAACACTTAATAGTTCCTCTTCTGCTTGCTTGCAAACTGATAAAGCTTTGACTATGTTGCCTCCAAATGCAACCAGGCGTTGGAGACCGGAGATCCCTGAATCACTGGAAGCATGCTGCTGAGAGCAGGGCCTGACGCAGAGTCTCCCAAAAGAGCCACTTTGCACCTCTCGACCAGAGTTTTCGGCTGTTGGATGGTGCATGTTACATGGTGGTACCGTGCTTACGTGGTAGCCTGCAGACAGCTCGCAACTGAAGCTTCAGCATTGGACTCGTGAGCGGTGGCCCGCTTTTGAGGGCTGAATGTGTGATTGCACAGGCTTCCACTATGGGTATGCCGTGAAATCAAGCTGCAGTTTTCGCTGCGAATGTTGCTGATGCACACTGATTGTCGGCGCCGAGTCAACAATCCCTGCACCCTCGGCGCATCTCTTCCCTGCCCTTTTCTGCGCCTCAAGATCAGGGGCGCCGGCTGGACCTCAAGAGCTGAGGATGAGAAATTGGAGGATAGCACCCCACTTGCAGCCGCGACACAAGTGAGCCGAAGGGATTTCCATCAAACGCCTGCCCGAGTTGTATTGAAGTATCCACTTCGCTTAGTGTTCACGGGAGCCAAAATCTCGTGTGGGGAGTTGCATCAAAGCTTCGAGTTCATGGAAAGCGAAGGTCGCCAGAAAAGACCTGCAAGCTTGCAACGCCATGGACCCGTGCAGAGACCAAGCTAATTATTTACTTTGAAGATTCTCCGAAACTAACACCTTTCTGTGGTGGTAGCTGGATACTCATAGCCTGATAGGGATCGTAGAGACAGCACTGTAACACAGACTTTTTGGTCTGCGCACATCCGACTTAACCCGAATCCCTTCTTTGAAGGATAGACTTCATGTCCTGCTCCTCCGGCGGCGGAGGCGGCGGAGGGGGTGGCGGCAGGCTCATGTCATTCATGGCCTCAGTCTGGTGGAATGCTTGGCTGAGAGTCTTGAAGGGCGGGAGTGCTTTGCGGCATCGGGGGGCACATATTAGCCAAGCTCCAGTCAGCCCAAAGAGAACACGCAAAAAGACGCGCAGGCACAGAGCTGCCACGCTGCAAGAGAAAACCCCACCCAGGAGAAGAATCATCAAGGATTGACCGGCGATGGTGATGTTCGCGCCTAGTGTTTCACAAAAGCACCTCGAAGAAGAATGGCAACTGCATGTGTGATCGCGCGATTCGTACTGACATGATAATGACTGTCGCTCTTCAGCTGCCGAACCATTGCATGTGCTGCCTAGGGGCGGCATAAGGCCTAGGAAGGATTCACGCACGAAATAATCTCTAAACATGTCGGGCGCTTCTTACAAATACTTGTCCTTTATACCATACGGATTACTTTCGGAAGCTCCGATGTAAGCTGGGACGACCGGACGATCTCGGGTTGAACCCCCTCACAACAGAGAAGCAAACACTATGCAAAGTTTGCAGAGCTTAGACTTGGGGCTCACTGTGCCGCCTGCTTCCTCAGCAGCTTGAAAGCTGGGGTTTTGCACTAACCTCGAACCAGAAACTCTGACAGCTTTCCATTACTAAACTTCAACAAGCAAACCGCCTCCTCACTCTTTCAAGCCTAGACCTGCTCGACTCATGGCTCTGTCCTGAACCTCTGCATCCTGAATCTCCATTCTTGGAATCTAAGGCAGGACCACTTCAGAGCCACATGAGTTCAGGCGAGCGTCGCCCTCGATGTTCGAGGCACACTGTTCCCCACCCGTCTCTTTGAGCCACCGCCAGCGGAGCAACAGCGGCCGCAGTACTCAGCCCTTAAACAATGATGATCACTCTTCAGAGCTGCAACCGCAGTGGAAGTGATGTTGAAAGCTATTGCTATTGATGCTAGTGCCGTTACTGGCACTGTTTGCATTCCTACTCAGCATCCACCGTCTCTTTATCGGAGCATCCATGCCCGAGCCGCAATAACGTCCGCTCCGACCTCGTCTCGTTAGCAGAGCATTCATGCCCGAACCGAAAAGCGTCATCGTCATTATCATTTTCATTCTGATCATGATCGTCCTCTTCCTCTTCATCTTCGTCTGTGTTTTACTCTGCCCCGTACATTTCCTTTTCGTCGTCTTCATCTGCCACGCTCGCCATGATTGCACGAAGTGCTTTTTGTCCCATGCAGGCCTCACTAAACGACAAGACGCACAACACCAAAGCACGCTTCTTTTGATTTGTCTTCACAGTTTGCCCAGAGTAACACGCAAATCTTCTCTTCAAGAAGAGGTTCCCGATAGAAACACAAGCCACAGCAACGGAGACCATCTTGGAGACGCACAAAGGGGCTCTGTTCCACGCAAGCCACCCGATGCACATGTCAGAATTTCCGCCGCATCGACTGAAGTCGAGATGTCAAAAAAGAGAAAGCAAGGAGCAACATGTTCGCGGAACTGACATGCCGCTGGTACCATGCAGGGCGCGCAGAACGCGAAAAACCCTCACCTGGATGGGAGCGTTCACAAAGAGATCGAGTGTTGTTGTTGCTGTTGCTGCTGCTGCCGCTGCTGTCGTTGCCGTCGCGCTCGTGGTCGCGGTTGTGGTCGTCTTCGCTGCCGCCGCCCTCGACGTCACTGTCACGATCATGGTTGTCGTTCGTCATTATTGGTGGTGGTGGTGGTGGTGGTGGTGGTGGTGGTGGTGGTGGTGGTGGTGGTGGTGGTGGTGGTGGTGGTGGTGGTGGTGGTGGTGGTGGTGGTGGTGGTGGTGGTGGTGGTGGTGGTGGTGGTGGTGGTGGTGGTGGCAGTTGTTGCTGCTATGGTTGCTGTTGCTGAGGGATACTCTCATAACTCATAAGCATTAGCAGCGATCGGGACGTTGGTTGTTGTCATCGGGGTACAGTCCTCCAATGATGCGCTGAATCTAGTGTTCTACTGCAGAGTTACATTGTGGCTCGTAAGACATTAACCAGCGAGGAGTAGCACAGGATTCTCACCCGTGACAGCTGAGGTGGCCAGCTGTTGAAATTGAAACTAACATCGGTGAACATCGGAGGTTCCTCGAGGCGTTCTGGGCAAGAAAGGCTTTGAATCAATGCAGATCATCGCACACCATTTTGCCAGATGTCAATCTGGGTCAAGACTTGCTGCGGTCCCTTCTGCTCGAAGCTCTTCCGGCAGAGTGTTCCTGGGCTCCGCTCGCTCTGTGTTTTCAGCCAGCTCTGCCTGTGCAGCGGCATGCGTAGCGTGGAAAGGATCATCCTGCAAAGCATCGAGGAGATCAAGCTCTGTCAACTTCTCAGGAAGCTCTTTCTCGGCCGCACTTGTCAGTTCCAGGGTGGTGCCCCCCGGTCGAACTCGCAACGGGCCAGCGGTGGCCACCCGCGCAATCAAGGTTTCGGCAGGCTCCTCCTGGACGGAGACAGGCGAAGCTTCGACAAAGCTCCGGGAAGTGCCGTCGACCGGCGCCTCCTGGTCAGTCTCGTTTGACCGCGACAGCTCCTCACCAGAAGACTCTACAGTTAAGTCGGCAGCCTCGTGCCCATCTGTTGGCTTCTTCGCTTCAACGGGAGCTTCCTCCGATGGGTCGTAGAGCTCCCCGGCTGAAGCTTCGTGCGGCTCCTCAAGGGCAGATGGCTCTTCCCGCGATGTGTCAACGGACTCGCTCAGGGCACCGATTTCTTCTTGGACGGCCAGGTCCTGGGGCCTCGGCCAAACACAAGAAGAAAAAACAGTCCACAAGTGCTACCCACCGCTACCGCCACTGCTGTCAGACAAGGAATGTAGACATCTTCCGCCGAGATGCTCTTCAGCCCGGATCCGAGCATTCCCAAAGATTGCAGAGGCGTCCTTGCAGCAAAAGGGCTCAGAGCCTATGAGCCTTTAATGCGCTCTAAAGCATAGGATCTAAGGCTCCGCGGCTCTGGGCAACGCAACTTCCAAGCACTATCGCAAGCTGTACTCCATGATTGGCTCCTCGTCGGATTGACGACTCACAACTTAGGCGTCTGCTTGGCACAAGAATTCAGGGCAAACAGCGACACAGCTGCTGGTACTCGTGACGGCGCACCAAGTGCTTTCGCAGTTCGAAGCCAGCTATGGGCCCGTCCGACAAAAACTCATCCGAACGTGTAGCAATGTAGTAGCCTGGATCTAGATCCTTCAAGCCAAGGATCCATTCCCGAAGCCAGGATCACCCGTCCTCACGACAGCATAAGACTCAAAAGTTCTCAACTGTCCTAGTCGAGAAGGTGTTTTCCAGAAGCACTACGCAGAGATCTGCTGACAGGATGGTCTGGTGACAACAAGCAAGGGATACCAGTCATGCTGGCACAACAGACATACCGGCTGAGTGTTCGCGGGGGTAAGACGGAGCTTAGGCCCCGTCAAACTTCCTTGATATCAATCGAAAGGCTACGAAATCCTTTGCCCTGATGCGGTCTTTCCTGACGCTTAAGATTTGAGTGTGGGCCCCAAAAGAAGCTATCGTCATTCATATGAACGAGAGTCGAGTTAGCGGGCACTACCAGTACCATCCAAAGAAGATAACCCGGCAGGATCAGTGTGAGCCCGTGGCCCCGAACAAATCGCATGCCGACCTTCACCCCGAAAGGTGCTTCTGCACACAACACATCACCGAGATATTGGAGGCTTGCATTCGATTGGCTTTGCGATTGCGGGCTGTGGGCTCTAGAGTCTAGCGTGAACTGAGTGAACTCTGAACTCTCTGGATGCCGGTTCCCGGCCTGCGGCATCCACAGGGACCAGGGCCGCAACGGGGGACAGTGGCAGCCCAAGCCGTCCCCCGAGCCTGCCAAGCTTCAGCCGAGTGGCCCCCTTTTTGCACTCATATGCAAGCCAATCCGAGAGTTGTTGACGACAGAAGCCATTAGCGGTGTCGGCCCCTAATTTCTCATCATCAGACGAAACAACGAGAGTGAGCAGCAAAACCCGCAATGACAGCAGGATTCGGTGTATAACGGAAGCAAGTGTCCGCTGTCTGTGTCGTCTTCGGAAACGCTGGGAACTTCCCAGGTCAAAAGGTGGACAGATTCAGTGCACTGGGGTAGCGGGGGCCTGTTGGTCGCATCTTGGAGGAGCCCAGGATCGCGGTAGAGCTCCTCTGCGGCGAACTCCAAGGCCCATCCTCAGCAGTCCGCTCTGGCTCTAACCTTTCTTGGGCTGTTGTCCTCCCGCACACCGACCTAATGGAAGGCCCGGACGCTCGACGTCGAAGGATTCGGTCTTAAACCTCCAAACACTCCACTGGACTCCACTTGCCGCCAAACGGCCATTAGACTTCTGCACCGCCGCGGCCATGAGAGTCCGATCTGCTCGGAGGCACTTCGACACGTGGCGCAGCGCGTGCCAGTCTCGGGGCATTGAGGCGGGAGGGGTTCAAGCTTCGTCAAGTACCATCGCTTTTGGGGGCTGGAGGAAGTCATTTCGCCTCACCTCTGTCTGCACCTTTCGGGGGAAACCTTTCGACTTGCTGAAGCCCTGACGCCGCCAAAAGCCCCAAAGGCCCGGCCTTGTCGGAGAGCCTCCTCGACAATTTCGCGGTCTGCCCTGCGGATGGGCGGCTTAGACAGCCCGACACGTCACAAAGGATGCAGCGGACGGGGGCAGCAACACACGACAAGGAGAAAACCACACATTCCAAGAACGCTGTTGGTAGCATCGCTGTTTCGCAAGTGAAGGTGCTCAGAACTGTACTCAGTGGCAGTTGCGGATTGCTTTGAGTTTCCTGCGCTTCTGATGTGTTTTCAGCTCCAAAAAAACCTCTGAGGCTTTTAATCACACACTCTGACGACGCAGTCACCGACGCACCGACACGGACCCGCAGGGAGGGGAGCACAGCCAGGGCCCGGGCTGGAGCTCTTCCGAGGCGAATTCCAGGGCTCTCCAGCTCTGCCGCACGGCGCCTTAGAGCGGAGAGAGAGCAGAGCGCAGCAGAGCACCCCCTTCTGTTCGCAGAGCGGACTTGGGCCGGGCAGGGCATCGGAGCCGCCCGGGGCCGCCGAGGCGCTGAGCACTGCCTGGCGATCGCGCTGGACCTCTTCCGGCGAGAACTCGAGCTCCTCACAAGGCAGGGGAGGGTGAAGTACTCGGGTCCAGCAGTCTGGGTTCAGACCGTCGTGTTGAAGCTTGGGGTGTAAGTGTAAGGTGCCTCGATGTTCGGGCTTGCATCTGTGATGAACCACTGCGAGGTTAACGTTATTACGAGCGGTGCTCCGAACAAAATCCTGGCTTGACTGCAGGTCTTGACAAAACTAAAACTCTGCTCCTACACTCCTGGGCTGCTCTGGGATCCGAGTTTCTGCAGACCAGGAGCTGAACACTGCTGTGAAGCAGACGGCAACAACAACCCAAGCGGCGATGCCATGTGGCCCTGGTCAGAAAAGCCCGAAGCCCGAAATGTCTGAGAGCCCGCAGCGGTCCGTCCAGTCTCCCAGGACCACCCTCCTCTTGTGATTCACATACAGCCTCCAGAATAGCTGCCATATCCTTATGCGGCTTGCATTCAACGAAAAAGGGTCCTTTGCTTCCTCACCCCTCACTGGCCGTCACCATCATCATCATGACCATCATGATTGTCGCGACAGAACCGACATGATGCCAAAATCCGTCATGAATTGGAATGAAGGCAATAGCAACACCAAGAATGCACTAATAGGTGGTTCAAGAACTTTTCTAGCATAGGCAGCCGTGTTCGCAACATGAAGAACAATGCTTCGGCAAGGACAGTTCTAGAAAGGCGCGCGCTCAGAACGGCAACAATGCTCAGGCCAGTGCCAAGCCATGTCAAAGCTTGCCCCCATTTTCTGAAACACCCCTGCAGAGTACGCTCATGGGCAGACATCCAGTGCAGACCGGGAAGCAGTCAGAGTCTGAGCTTTGCCAAATCCAATGCACCCTAAAAGCCTCGGGCCCTCTTTCCCTCCGAGTCTGAACAGAGGTTGATTGTCTGCTAGCAGCGTTACTGCTGCAATACCATATATCTTCAACATCGTTCACTGTCCGCGCCAGTGCTCTTCACTGTCGTCATTGTCACCGCGGTCATTTGCTGTTGGACTACCAGCGAGCATGTCGACCGAGGCGCGAAGAGAGAATGTAGCTCAGGAATCCCAGCAGCGCCTGGCTAAGAAAAGCTTTCCCTCCTGCCTTCAAGGTTCACCAGTGCCCAGTTGCCGTTGTGGGTACGTTCAAAAGGTTCGAACATACCTTGCCTATTTAGGGTATTGGCACCGCACATATACCCCCGCCCCATGCACCAAAACCACATTTCCCACTCATTTTCCCCGACTACTTTCTCCAACTTGATACATGTCATATAAACTCCACTTATCTACTAGTGCTGAGTTTGCTCAATAAAAGCATTAACTTCATTCAATTTTTTGAGTCTGAAGATGAATAATGTGCTACTATTTAAGCGAATGATCGGTGCCAACACATTACATTTTTGAGTGGATAAGATGACGCTTATAGCAATATGACGGCCTCTTGTGAAAAGACCGTGAAGGATATTGGAGTCTCTTACAAAGCGTGGGTCGTCACTAAACTCGTCCACCACTAACACAATGCTAAACAGATCTTTCTGTTGATTCTTCTTCTGAAAATCAGTTACTTTATGTTGAGTCTCGACTATCTTCTTTCGGGCCACCGGATCGTATTCCTCGTGATAAAGCTGTTCTTTTCCGGTTGCTACTTTCATTACGTCCCTCATGTATTTCTTTACTGCCGACCAAGTTTATCAACGCGAACACCGGGTGAAAAGATGTATATTCTCTCTAACGACCCCCTGTAGATTTTTAGTATCAAGTCCTGGATCAAGAATGTTTTACCACCTGTTGAAGAAGCCACGCATAACATCCGCGCGGGTCGTTTAGGCATCATATCAAACTTGCTTGTTTTTATATTTATATTCAGGTATGTCTGTCGGTTCTACTTTAATCTTTTAGTATAATGAAGAAGTGTTTAGAAGCGATACAGGAGATTGTTTTTGACAAGGTTGTAATACAAGACACCAAGCTTAAAAGATGTTGCACCGCTTTTTTAGAATTGCTCAAGGCAGTTCTAGAGTATTTTAAAAACTCTCAGACAGGTTAATGAGTGACAATCATAGAGAATCAAACGAAGGTGGCTTCCACTTAAACACAAATGGATTAAACTGTTTGCGTTGCAAATGTAGAAAACAGACTTTTCACAAAGAAACTAAGATAAGTAACAAAGGCAAAACAATCATTGAAGATAGAAGCAGTTGGAAGATTGGTAGAGGAATCACACCGATGAAAACGACATATTCAAAACGAGCTCTCAAGACAACGAAGGTGTGTTGACGCGGTGACCACTGGGTGGGGATCAAGAAAACCTACGCCAGAAGAGAGGTTAGAAAAAGTGGAGGAGGATGTTGCAAGGATAGACAAAGATGCAACTATTTTAAAAAATATTCTAAACGTGATGGAATGATATTCAAATCTAGTTTGTGTTGACAGTGTATGGTATAGCTCCCAAACATCATAAGAAGATCAGGTCCCATTGTGATGAACAGATTCATATTCACTCCGTAAGAGTGTGGAAATGATATTAATTAGTAATAAAAGTAGTTTCGCTAAATCTTAAGGAACCGGTGCAAGTTTTCATAATATTTCATTATGCAAAAATGTTTCATATAACAAGTATTAATGCCAGTAAGAGTAAATAAGATATCAGTTGATTTTGACCCATATAGTGAAACACTTAATGTTGTTAATAGGAAGTGTTATCGTTGTACGCAAGTCAAAGACATTGATTGCTTTAAGCGTTGCTATTGCACTGCTAAGCATTCTTACTGTTATGTTAAATGCATTGCTAGTTGTTCTGAATGCTTAGATAAGGCTGTCAAACAAACCGTGATCCAGTAAATCTTAAGAACAGAATATTTCTGAGCAAACTGACTTAAAGAAACAACATCTATATATATATATATATATATATTATTAGCGGGGACATGTTCAATCAAAAAGAACAGGATGAAATAATCAATAACCTCTTGGATGATGTTGTCAAGGTTCACGACCACTTCATGGAACCCAAGGAAGAGCGACGGAACTCTAAATGCAAAGATTGTAAGACACACCAACGTTACTCCACTCTGTACGAATTGCCACTGCCAGAAAATATTACCAAACATATCTACGGCTTTGCTGACTTTTGCCGTGATTGTCAAAGACGCCAATTCAAGAAGGAGAGGATAGAGGGAAGTATCAGACGAAATATACTACACGAATATGATGTAGACAGACCTATTCTCTCAATTAAACATAACCTTCCCAATTGCGACTGGGTTAAAATAGTCTGCTCAGGAATTTGTCAAAAAGAAGATATGAAAGACTCAGATGGTTATATGATGATTGGATGATTCTTAAACATATCGATACTCGTAGTAAGATAAGCGATTTTGGTTTTAATCCAGATATATTTATTAGGGACGTTCATAAAACTGTTGGAACTCTTGAATAAACCAGAGTTTGTCTTAGTGGATTAAACAGCCTAGACTGCATAATGATAGTGTAACTATAATACATAAGCAATTATGCATTGTAATTACAGCATATTTATAACATGATCCGAGAATCGGAGAAGCCAGGCTTTGATACAACCCTTCTTAACCCTGAACCCTGAACCAAATTCTACAAGGAACCCCTTGCCTATTTTGGGCTATGGTACCTAGGTAGGGTGTGGGAATTGGGGTTCTAGAGTGCGAATAGGATTTTTTTCATATTGCGATCTTAGGTCGTGGGGTGCGGTGGTAGCGTTTTTCTATGAGGTGCACTTAGCACATTTTCGGGTGGTAGATCAGGCTGTGCATCAATGGTTGCCGTTGGGGGGGCAAGTGGGCTGGTCTTGGTGGAAAAGGCTGTGGAACAGGGCTTTTGTGGTGCAGTTCTTAAAGGGCTGGTGAAGGAGGTGGCGCAAAATCTGTTGAGTTTTTGCAGGGAACATGTTGCGATTTTTTGGGGCGAGGCTGGCTGGTTGAGAATGCGAAAATGAGGTCTGAAAAGTTGGAAAAATGGTGGACATTGAGGGTATGCTCGTTGAGAAAATAGTTGGTGATTCGGAGGTGTGGGGGATGAAGTGTATGCTTTTGGAGAAAGTAGCTGGGGAAAATGAGTGGAAAAAGGGGTTTTGGTGTACGGGGGGGATATATGTGCGGTGCCAATAGCCTAGATAGGCAAGGTGTGTTCCAACTTAAAAGTCACTGTCAAAGGCAACACAAGTTGCAGCTAGATGCAACCACACAAACCGGGCTACTTCTAAGCCAGCTCAAGATGTGGCATTCCTCCAAGGGCCTCTGCCTGAAGGACTTTCCCCTTACAGCTCTGGCTCTGGACCTAGAGCATGGCCAGCGCCTCGCTAAAGCATGCAGGTCCCTGAAGCTTCAAAAACGTTTTCGAACCACTGACCATCACGCTTGAACGGTGCATGCTAGTGTTTCAACGGGCTTCCGAAACACAACTCTCTACCCTAAAGGGGCATTGCATGTTGCGCAGGTCGCTCCAAATCCGTCTGGCATCTAATCGAATCTGCTGAAGCTCCTGCACCTCTAACTCTGACCCTCTCGCTCATCGCCTTCATGTCAGGGGCTCATTTAAGCTTTGAAATCAGGTTTAGGGCCGAGATTCAAGGCCATTAGCACCCCTGCTGCCACACTGGCACACTAAATACCTCAGACACTCAGACAGTGTTTCCGGTGGCGGACCTTGAGCGACATGAGGATGCTCCATGAGCGACATGCTGCCTCTTGTCTTTTGGATTGGTCGTCTACAAGTTGAAGGAAGAGTGGATTGAAAGGCTTTCTTCATCCAACACAGCCAACTCGATCGCATGTTTAAACAACAAGGATTCTAGATCAATCATGGCGAGGCATCTCTTCGCTACCCTGCCCCTAGGGCAGGCCATCTCAACTTGGTTGATGGAGGGAGCCGGGTCAGCCGCGAAGCTCAGTTGTGGCTGCCAGATCACACTGCCCAATGTTGACAAATGCATGAAGCATGCAAGAACGGGTTGTGATACAAGTGCCTCTGCTTGGCTCCAAGTGGCCCAGGTCGTTTGCACCCTTGTTAGATTTCGCGGTCCGGCAGATCCGGATTTTGGCGTCGAAACGAAACTCCGTAAAATCCTAAGCAGCAATCTTAAGCCCCACACCTCACCCCTATGGCACCTTGGTAGGCGCAGGTGCAGAGGCAGAGGTCTCGCCCAGGGCGCAGGTCTCGCCGTCCATCGCAATAGGGTGGTCTCTGCCTCTACGGACCTCTGGCTGTACTGTATCTGTAACAACCACACTAAGATTGATAATAATATGAAAGCCATGTTATGCAGGCTTGTCCCAGGACACTAGTGACGTGTGCGTGCTGCTGCTGCTGCTTCTGCTTCGGCTGCGAGCACCGTCATTTGTCAGGCTTGTGATGACAGCCATGATGTTGACAACTACAGCTTGTGCTGAGCCACGCACGCGCTCAAGTCGTTTCCAGCTGCTTTGATGCTACGGGTGCAGCTTTCGGGGCTTGTGTGTGCGTGTGTGTGCCAGCCACGTACTCACGACCATGGAGGCCACCAAGGATTTGAGGAGGGAAACAGGGTACCTAAATGGTGCAGAGTGCTGCTTTCGGTAAGCAATATCGCAGTGAGGGCTGCGAAAGCAGCAGCTTAAAGCATCTATGCACCGCAATCTGTGGGGGCACGCCTCTTGCGATTCATAAATCATAAACACAGCCCCATCTCAATCCCAAGCGCTAAATGCATCTGGAGTCCAAGAGCTCAACCCGACTGCCTGGATGAAGCGAGCAGATATGTCTTGCAGCTGCGTTCACAGGCGCAAGAGCTTGGAATTTGCATGCTGCTCAGCCTGCGAGAACCCTGAAACACGGCGACGATAGGAAGTTGACAGCTGTGAGGCAGAGCATGAATCATTCCGGGGGCCTGAATTCCTTGACGACCTGTTTTCCTTCTCTTCGCTTCTGGAGGAGGTCAAGGTCGGACGCTCCGGTCCGGGAGATACAGCCGAGATGTGTCCGTCGGCTTGGTGACTCTTTAATTGGTACTGTACGTGTCTCTGTGTGTTTGCCAAAGTGTCTTGACCGGGTGAGAGGAACCAGGCTAACTGGGGAATCTGTTCCGCTTCGGGTTTCCAGGGTACGGGTTGTCAGGTCTGGTTTGGTGCTTCTGGTTCAAGGTGTAGGATTTAGGGAAGCTTGGGTTGACGCAACAGCATTTGCAGTCGCTCTTCCAGCTGCCGAATCACGAGATGCCTTGGCAGTAACAGTAACATGATGTTCCTGCTGTCAAGATGCTTTTGAAAGCCTCCCTGTCCTCGACTCTGCATGTTATGTCGGGCAGGACAGGTCGGATTCCATGCTGATACGAGTAGCTAAGAAGCAAGAAGTCAGCGGCATCTATATCCCAGCAGCACGACGCAGCGCACTGAGTGCTGATCCCACTTGCGCATAAGGCCTAGAGCCCACATTCAGGAGCGGACGGAGGATGATGTGGCTTCCGCTATCCTCGCAGCAGGGCGCCAGTTGTACGATGGACCCTAGACAAAATAATCTCAGCAGCAGCTATCCCTGAGGAGCGGTCACGCCGACAGCACTACATCATTGACTGACGGTGCTTCTGGGCTGAAGAACCATAGCTCAGCTTTGGGATGAGGTCATATGATATTCCTTTCTCAAGGAGTTTCAATAAGCAGTTTCCAGGCACTCTGCAGGTCAGGTCTTGAAGTGCTGCTGTCCGTGTCGATGATGGGGCTCATGCTGCCGACTTCCAGGGCATAGGAGGCTTCCTGGCCCAGCATGCTCAGAACCACACGAAGGAGGATCATCATGAATCATGACGCCCCTTTCCCAGACTGTTGTGCCAAGGTAACAAGCATGTAGCAAGCACGTATTCAAGATGTCCCCAGGCGGAGCTGCAGAATCCAAATTCCGGCTCTAGTTAGAAGTTTACTCGCGCCAAAACCCACCGAAGCAGCCTCAAAGGGCTTCTGCATCTCGCCCTTGCCGAAGAAGCCGAGGTCACCTCCCTGAGTGCCAGTGCCGCGAGCTTCGAGCTGAGCATCGCGCACCGTCCGGGGAATACGAAGCGGGGTGGAGGGGTGGGCGAGCATCCTAACTACGAGTAACAAGCAACGATGCAGAGGACGGATGGCATGGGTTGCTTCGATGGGTGTCTAAAACCGGGGCGGGACGAGAGCTCAGATGAGTTTTGCTTCTCCTAAGGCTTCGAGGCGTGCAGGGGCTGCGAGGGGTTGAAAAGCTTTGTGATTTCCAGTCTTTCTCATGACTATCATCCACTGCCCGTCCTTTGGAGTATCTTTCTTGGCAACCATTGCGATCGCAGATGATCAAGATCAACTCTCTCTACCACTCGGCAGGGAAGCTTGTAATCAATGCACATGTCGAAACACTCGCATGGACGGGAAAGAAAGGTACCACAGCGGTATTGGACTGGACAACTCACCTGCAATCAGACCCCTGACCTGCTCCAAGAGCCCCCTTGGCAATATCTTGCACTTGCGATAAGACGGATGTCGACTCCTTGAAGCCCGCGGGAATGCGGAACTGGGCCTGGGCGTAGGAGCCGCAGTCGCTGCGTGCCTGGGCTTCCTTGGCGAAAGCGTCGACGAGAGCCTGGACGACGGTGGGCGACGAAACGGACACGAAGAGCCTTCACTGGCTGCAAACCATGACCCGCTCCTACTGCAGCGCAGGAAGGTAAGCCCTGAAACCCGAAGTCGACAACCGACGCTTCCTGGCCAGAGAGGTCTTTGAGCTTGCCGATGATGGCCGTTAGCTCGGTGTGAGCGGTGTCCACACCGACCTCGAGCTCAGTTCAAAGGCAGCGAGAGTGCTCTCGAACATGGCGCTCAGTCTTTGTGGCGTTGCAGGGTTTGGGCTTCCCAGGCCTGGGATGTTGCTGGGCTTTGGCATAGGGCTCTTGCGGAAACACTCCAGCAATCCGTCGCAACATTATCCGGCCGTGCTCTAAAACCTGTGCGGGAAATTCGGACAGGTGGCTCCTGCTGTGGAGGCTCCAGTGCGCCTCGACACGGGGTTTCGCGACTTGGAGTGCTTGCACCTGGCGGGCTTGAGACTCTGTGAGATGAAGGCATTCTGAATGAATTCAACGACTTTCAACCTTCAGGATGTCGGAATGAGCTCTACCTCGCGGCTGTCAGGATCTGGCCACGGCCCAACTCTGGCTACATCAAGGGCCTCACGAGCTCACCAGGCTAGACATAGGAGGAACACATGCAGTGTGCAGGCGCCGTCGCGCGGAGCCCCACTGCCCCACCGCCCCTTCCTGGCCCCCCCCTCTCCCAGCAGATTTTGTGCAAGGCCTCAACCCTTGAAACCCCCAAGCCCGAAGCCCTAAAGCCCTAAATCCCCATTCTCTCAACCTTCAACCCCAAACTCGGTGACCGTGAAATGGCCGCCGGCGTGGCAGGAGGTGCAGCACTCGAACTTTGCCCTCCTTGGCCTTGGAAGGGCGAAAGCAGATGAGGCTTCCTTACGCCAGGCTTTACGAGCTTCGGGTTGGAGCGTTGAAGGCGCAGGCTTAAGGATCATAAGGTTTCACGCTCGTGATGGTTTTAGGAATAGTAGTAGTAGTAGTAGTAGTAGTAGTAGTAGTAGTAGTAGCAGCAGTAGTAGCAGTAGTAGTAGTAGTAGTAGTAGTTGTTGTAGTAGTAGGAGGAGGACTACGACGAGGATGAGCAGCAGCAGCAGGCAGCCGTCGTAGTAGTAATCTAGAGAAGCGGAACTTGAAGCAACTACAAGTAGCGATGGAAGAGGCAGTAAGAGTAGTGGTACGGGCAGTCGAAGTGGCAGTGACGCAGTTGTTGACGATGCAGCAGCAACGGCGGCGGCGGTAGTGGTGGTGGCGGCGGCGGTGGTAGGGGTCGTGGTGGTGGCTTTCGTGGTGTGGTAGTGGTAGTTTTCGCATGTTGGCAGCGGTGGTGCTAGCAGTCGTCGTCGTAGTAGTTGTTTGACGGAGCCCCAGAATGCTCTAGGCACTTCTCATTATTGCGATTGTCAGTCATCAACGCCATCCACATAGAAACCACGACGTCCAAGTACGGTATGATGAGAGTGCTGACAATGAAGTTGATGCTGGGGTTGTTGTTGAGCAAAGGTGATGCTCATCTTGATTGCGTTGACATTGATGCGATGACGACGATACGCAGGATAGTTTGAAGAAAATGGCAACAACCTGAACATCAGTCACAGCATCGCGCAAACACAGTAACTCGTACAGCGAATAGGCTTGGTAAGCTGAATGACACTCAGCACGAGAGCAACCTCAAGAAAAATAAACTTACGACACGGGGGACCGGGGGACTAGCCGTGACTCTTCGCAGTGTTGAGATGTCGCTACGATGTCAAGATCCGGAAAAACGGCAACAGTTGTGGGGATTTGGAGTCCCATCACGCCTTCCCATGTCTGCTTAAACTTTTTCGAGACGGTCGCCGTGATATAGCAAGATCCCAAAACGATAACAACAACGAGGTTGCCATGCCCAATCCACCATATCGATGACAAGCTCGAGGCACAACATCGACAATTGTCATTCAGATTCCGCTCTCCTTCAGACCATGGGATTGGTGGTGCCAGGGTGGCCGACTGACGCGGCGCCGCGTCATTAGATATGCCCCAGAACCACAGACGTAGATCGATAAGCAGACAAAGGTCCTTCAAATCTGTTCTTTGCAACTAATCTTCATGGTGAATCAGTCCGAGATTAGAGACAAAGTCGCAAAAGTGCCTCCCCGCAGCCTTCCCGGACTCCAGAACGTGATGATTTTGTGTCAGAAAAATTGTGTCCTGCAACAAGACATAGCAACGACAGAGTTCACACTAACAGCGAAACTACCGAAACGATCAGAAGATCGTGAACACGTGATCATGCCAGGGCCCCTGCCGCCATGGCTTGATCACGCCCCCGCGTTCAAGCAAAACGCTGCTCGGACTTGAAGCAAAAGGCCAATCAGTCATCAGTCTGCATGTTCTCGCGTTTGGGGCTACGGCAAAGGGGTTCTGTGGGGGTTCTTCCAATCTAGCCATCAGGAACGACCTCTACACTCAAGCTTCCCTGCTGCAAGACTGTTGCTTAAATTGGGGACGAGGCTCTCCAAGCCGAGGACAAAGACCACTAACAGGCACAAGAAAGCCCCCGGAATCGCATGCCACTCCGGTCCGTGAAATGCTTGTCCAATCTCATACACAACCAGGGTGTAGCTTTCCATGTCGTCCTTTTTCTGTGCGGATTGTCGACTGGCTCATCCCGATAGCCATATCTACCACAGGGGCCGAAATTACGTGAACGGCGCTTCCGGCACGATGCTGAGTAGCGAAGATTCCTGCGCAGACGATTTCGGCCCATGTGCCTCCTGCCCCTTGACAAAGCCAGTGTTGCAGAAGAGGTCGCTTCATCGTGTCAGGGGTTGGGAACTGCTTTACAGTATGGCACAGGATAAGGAGAAGCGGCACTGGCACCCTCCACAGAAGAACTCTGGGCAGGCAGATTGCTATCTGCAGTCAAATCCGAGATTTTGTATCTCTCGGGATCGGAAGCCTTTTACTCCTCCAGGCCTTCAAAATTCAAATAGCGCTGTTTGATGTTGGGACTGGTATATTTAGCTGGCTCTCCTTCCCGCCGGTGCAAAGGACGCACGAACGCTCCTATTCGAAGAGGCCTGGGTTTCCGTCCTGCTCTCGATCCTAGATGAACGGCTAACTAGCGGTGAGACGGTTAAATTTTGTAGAGAGAGGTTGGAGCACAAATCGGAGGACGCCACATCCGGGGCAGTCGGAAATGATCAGATGAAATCAGCAAGCCTTTGTCCACTTGAAACTCTGTCTGTGCTCCTTTTCGATGAACCTGAATTCCGCGCTCGAGTCGCGATTTCTGAGGCCACACGGTGCGGGATTGTGAGCACCCGTGCTCTGGCAAAAGGCCTCAGCTTTGGCCTCAGATAGAGCAATGCAAGGACAGCTCACTAGCCGGATATGGCACTACAATTGCGTGGGAATGGATGGGTGTGCACTGCAAATCCATGCCGCGACCTGAGATCTGTGGCTCACCCTGGAGCTAGAATCCCTCTGTGGCAACATTTCAACCACCCGAAGAGCCGATCTGAATCCTGCCTCACTTGTTCACTTGTTGACCGCAAGCTGGAACTTGGCCAACAAAGGGATCTGCCTTCCTCCGGGTCTTGTTGAGGTTCAGAAGTCGGGGCTTCGAGTCTCGAGCTTCGTATCCTGGAGAAGGTGTTGCTCGGTTGCAGCAAAAGCGTACATACAAAAGCCTCTAAGCCCCGAAACCTCAAGTCTGACCTTGAGAGAATGCCTGAAACGCAGAAGCCGTAAATGTTACAACCCAATTCAAACCAAAGAAGCAAATATGGTCCTGGGAAGGCCGCCCGTGCATCCTGGTCTGACATCGTCGCCAGGTAGCCTACCAGAACATTGATGCATGCACATACAGATGTCTGTGCACTGTACACATTACACGCGTGGGGGGGGGGGGGGGGGTGCGTCCAACCTGTTTTTCAATCTACCGCTCTATGTGTCGACCTATGAGCCTATCCAGGAATCATTACATGCATCCGTACACCCACCTGCCCACAAACACAAATGCCCGCCCGCCTGAGCTCGTAGAGGAACTAACATTATGTACCTGTCTACAAACCATCACTATGCATTATGTACCTACCTACATACATACAGACGTATAGACAGACAGGCGTATAGCAGACAGACAAACGGACAGACAGAGAGGCAGGCAGACAGGCAGACAGGCAGACAGGCAGACAGGAGACAGGCAATTCCTCAAGCGACTCCTGACATGACCCGGTAGCACATACAAGCCCGAAGACACCAACCGTTCGCCTTCTCCCGAAGTCGAAACCCCAACCTCGGTCTCCGGATGTGAAGGACTTCCTGAGACCCTGTCCCCCAATGCCGGTCGCCAAGAGAGATAGAGATGGACTCTACTTTGTCGTCTACAGAAATGCAGAAGACGTACACTCACAGACAAACTGCCCTGAACACATGCACGCGTAGACGCACATTGCAACGCTCTGACCAAAACACTCCTCAAAATCATCCCCACAATCTGGGGCAAGAAGGGTCACGTCCCATGACCCTAAGCAAGAACCCCAAACAGCAGGATCCTGATTATGAGAACCCTGAACCCCTGTACTTACGACACCCTAATGTGCAAGTCTCCCCAAGTTTCAAACACCCTCGATGCGAGGCCTTCGGAGTGCTCCGACAGGACGGCAACGGGCTCGAGGCCGGTCATAAAAATCCCACTGGGCTGCCAAAGGTCCTGCTGACGCACCGTCTACGTGCGGTACTCAGTACTCTATCATCATGGTACTACGAAGAGTCACCAGACTTGCACCACTCAGAGTCAGAGTGATGCTGATCGTGATCTTGTCCGTAATAATACCAACATCCACTGGCATGACGAAGGCTCTGACAGTTCAGCTTTGCTTCAGGATTCTTTCAAGTCTTCCGAGCTGATGAGGTCTTGGTTTGGGCGCATAGCCTGTGGAGCCCATAGCACCCAAGATGAGGAACAAGCTCTGGATTCGAGCTCTTGGAAATCGCGGCAGCTTTCCTTCTGGGAAAAAATCGAACATGTCGCCAAGGTCAGGTCTTGCCACTTTCACGTACACAGCTGAGAAAGCCTAAGAGCCCAAGGGCTTGGCGAGCACTTGGGCATCTTGGCCTGGAGTTTCTTCTGGCGGCAGACGCCCTCGGCTCGTGGCAGCGGCACCGACACCTGTCACGAATGAGCCATGCATCACTGCACTCGCTCCCCACCCGCCCCATCTCCCCGTCCGCATACTTTGTGCAGCGATGTAGGCATTCTGAATTGTATGTGTGTGCATACATATACGCAAAGAGATAGATACTGAATGAACATTTATATATACACTATACATAAATATAAGATACAGATATTGATATAGATATATCCATCAGCTCACATGAAGTCTGTCATACATCGGTATGTACTATAAGCACCGCCACTCACACTCAGAGCAAAGGGAAACGAAAAGAAGAACCTTGCGAAAAACATTCCACGAAGAGAAAACAGCCGAAACAGAAGGACCAATCCCCAACCAACAAATCGGTTTGCATCTCTGCACGCCGTCCGTGCGTGTGCGTCTGTGTGTGGGTGTGGGTGGAGGCCTGGAGGGCTGCGTGGATGGATGGCTGGATGGACGGGTGGATGCGGGCGTGCACACGTTTCGTTAAATCCTGTCCTTGCTGTTAACATATTTGGCTCGATTCGTGTAGCCCCGTCTCTACCGGAAAAAAGATGTGATTCATCTGTCGGCAGGTCTCAATGCATGAAACTACCGCCAGACCCGAAGGGTCCGTGCACTGTAGATCCGAACCGCACGGGCCGAAGCGCATCCCTGAACCTCAAAATATTGATTGAAGCTGAAACTCCGCACCCCGAGAGCCCAGGCCCTGAGCGGCACTCCCCAACGAAACCCCAGAAAGAAGCCTGAAGCGTCTGATCCACAAACTGAATTCTTCCATGCCTCCGAACCAAGTGCCTCGAACCTGGATCATTGCGATGCCGGGCCAGTGGCCATGGAGTTTGGGTGAGCTAGTTGTGCTACACGTACTTGCCCGGCAAAGCTTTGCTCTTCACCAGGGTTGTGTGGAATTAGTCCAGGGATTGTTTCGGCGTTAATAACAGGAGCCCGTGGGCGAAGTTTCAAGTCTTGACGTGCCCCATCCATGAATGCCTCTCACATGGGAGAGTTGGATTTCGGCGCTGAAGCTGGCCTATTTAAGTTCTGGACACACATCAATGCTTTGGGGTGCGGGATGTTGCCGAAGAATTCTTCAGCTTGAAGCCTTTCTGGGTGTTGTACGGCTTCGTTGCCTCCCTCGTTTCAGTCTGCGCATCTGCCCTTTGGCGTCGGATTGCTATCAGACATCGCTAATCTAAACCCTGACCATGCCACCTGTGCCCCAGACAATGTACAAATCCGTTTCCGTCGGTCTGTCCCCGTCTCTCTGCCTCCGGCTCTGGCTTTGCTTTTGCCTCTGGCTTTGCCTCTGTCTCTCTCTCGCGCTTTCCTTTCTGCCTGCCGCACTCTCTCTGTCTCTGTCTCTCTATCTCTCTCCTAGACGACAGACAGGTAAAGCTAAAGTATCCATCCCCCCCGACACGGGTCCAGAAAGGTAAAGCGAGAAACTCCATCCTTGACTTCGGGCACCCGTCTCGGATCCAAAAGCTGCTGTCGCAGGTGAAGCACCGCATACTCCCGGAGGCGTAGATGACAATTTCTACCGGAAGACTCTTCGCTGAAGCTTATGCCCCAGTCCGAAAGACTTTGAAACCTAAGCTACTGAACTTGCTGAACTCCTTTGTAACTTTCTCCGCGGAGGAGCATTGCAGAGCGAAGTCCCGCGAGGCCGGGCACCAAAGCGGCTGCAAACGCACCCCCCACCTCTCCAGCGCTTCTAGCTCCAGGATTGCGAGGCTTCTCGGATCGCGGGCTCGCCAGGCTGTGACAAGATCGTTTACCAGAATATTCCATCAAGGAAGAGCCCAATCAGTGAACATGCAAAGCCCCACCCAAGAAGGAATCCAGGAGCAGCCCCAGGTCCAAAATGCGCACCGTCGCGGAATGGCAGCTGTGGCGGGAGCACGGCTTCGGGGAACACACACGGGAAATGGCCCGGAAACTTCAGCTTGAAATCCATAGCAAGTAATTATGTCCAGCTCTAGCAACCCTTACACAACCCCAAGCCAATCCAGCGACACTTGTGAAGCAAGGCCGCCGCGGAGAGATCCGCACAAACCACCAACGAACGAGCAGGTCGCAGAAGGTCGCGAAGGTTCCTTAACTCAACTCCGGCCAGCGGGCTCTACTACAGGGTCGCATCTGCTTTGTATAGGGATTCCCCAGAAACTTTATCCGAATGGGGGTCCAGGTGCCTAGTGCGGGTTGCGGCCTGGGTTTATTTCGGGTCTAGGGCTTTAAGCTTGTGGAGCGACGTCTATAGGAGTCGAGGCCTGTGCATCTCGCAAGGCACGCCAAGACAAGGTTCCTACATCTGCAGGTGCTCCACGGCCTTGCAAAAGCTTTGTGTAGGTCACCAGAAAGCAGTACATACTTGGGGCTTCTCAATTCTCGGGGTCCCTGACAGGTGCCTGGCTTCAACAAACCAGCACTGGAGCAGTTGCAGCATTAGCTCTTTAAAAAGTGGGAGATGAGTCATCTCTTAAAGTGACACTCACTAAAAGGACCTCAGGGGCACTGTTGGTCTCCTTGTGGATTCCCGACGATGCCTTGAATATGAAGGTGACTGGGAATCCAGGACGCGATTCGACGAACCCTAAACTCCCCCCGAGTGACTTTGCGAGGAGCGTCTGACTGCCACAATCCTCCAGCGCCGGGCGGAGGCAAGCGAAGCGGACATGGACTTTCCCCTGGCCACAAAGCCAGCGCGGTGGAGTTCTGTTCAGTCTGCTTGTGGCAAATTCGGCCTACTCTCGGCTTACTCTTAGCACGTCAGTTTCAGCAACTGATACCAGGATACCAGGTGCTCCAATGAGAACAGCTCGGTAGTGCTAGGAACCCGGGTGCTGATTATAGACTCGAAACCGAGTGTTTTAAGACTTCAAGCAGGGAAGCAGCTGAGTTCTCGTCGGGGTTTCTGGGCATGGCAAGAGCTGGGGCCTGCCAGGCCAGGTCCACAGCGATGGCAGACCCCTGTTCACGCGAGCTCAGGAAGGTCCACTGCCTGAGCCACATTGCCACAGCGCAAGGCCATTTCTGCTGCGGCTCGTGCTTCTGCAGAGTTACTGTGTCGTTCAGGTGTCGCTGGTGTTGAAGGTGATGGTAGTAGAGGTGTGAAGATGGAGCTGAAGATGAAGATGAGGAGGAGGAGGAACGCTGACCCGGATGAGAACGAGGACGATGGTGTTGGTGGTGGTGGTGCTGGTGCTGCTGGTGCTTGTGGCGGTGCTGGTGCTGGTGGCGGTGCTGGTGGCGGTGGCGGTGCTGGTGGTGCTGGTGGTGCTGGTGGTGCTGGTGGTGCTGGGATGATACGATAGAATAGCAGCAGCATAGGAAAAGAGATATGAGATGAGATGATATGAGATGACGACGATGACGATGATGGTAAGTAAACCTCGATGGGGACCAGCACGGAGGGCGATGTTTTGGTCCTCTCCTCGTGGTTGCTGCCATTGCTGATGGTGATGCCGTCGTCGTCGTTCACGGTCATGTTACGCTTGTGGTTGCCGCGGTGGTGGCAAACGAAGTGGCTGTTGTGCTGCTTTTCTTCAGGCGGCGTCGGATGGTGTGACATGGGCCCGCTCGCTTTCTGTGGTGGTGGACGAATCCAGGACAATGGGTATGCTCATGTCTCTTCCGCTCGCATTACGGCCGCGTCCTGATTTTTGTGTTTCGGTCTGGTATGACAGTATGACAGGCCCACACGCAGCAGGCAGACACCCCGGAGACGACAGACGACGGCGAGCTCTGAAACAGTTCATCCACCCCTCGACCGAGATCTTTTCTTGTCGGATAGCCTTCCCTCCCGAACAGCTTTTGCAGATTCAGGTCTTCCCGTCAAAATAGAACTACAATGGTCATTGAAAGCCCACGTTTCTGGAATGCAGCACTGGTGCGTGCGATCCCAGGCGATGGTGTTGGCGCTGCCCTTGCACCGCGCGCTACGAGCGTCGTAGCCCTTCCCGACGAGGCTGCAGGTCACCTGGGCAAGCAGCGTCTGGAGTTCACATGAAGCCGAACGTACATACAGTGATTCTGCACATGCATATGATGCCTACCATGTACCTCCATCTACTTATATCGTGTTCTGCTGGTTCAGTTTTAACAGATGGATCGCCAGCGACGGCTTCGGCTCGGAGCACTACCGGCTACTGGCAGTAGGTGGGCTCAGTGATATCAGAATGTATCTCCTGTTCATCGTCACGATAATCGGCTTCGTGTGCTCATGCCAATTCAGTGATTCAGCTAGACGCAGCACCTCCTTTGCCACCACCACCAGCAGCATCAGCAATACCACCAGGCAGAACAACACGTGAAATGATGACAATGACAGTCGCCACATTTACGTAGCGCAGCGGCACACGGCCAGGAACAGCGACAGCAACAACAGCAACAAAGGCGGCAACCGCAGCAGCAGCCATAGCACCGGCACTTCCAGCAACAAGAGTAACGAGCGGTCATAACAACAAACATAAGCCATTGTAATCACCACGTCCATGCCTCATGCCCGGGATGCTAGGATGATAGTGATGCTCACGACAATAGTACTAAGACGAACGTTGCCAGTAAACGCACGAGCAATCACAGCTACTCTGACAGACTGAGGACTGCGAACAAACAAAGCTAGATGCAGACATATTAGCGAGAACACTGTGTGGACTGACCACTGGCTGCCTCATCTTCGGTCTTGATATCCAGGCCCTGGAAGCAGGCCACGCCGGGGGGGCACAGGCGGAAGAACCTGAGCCAGTGCGCGAGAAGGATTGCCACACAGAATTGCTCGGCTTGGAAACGGCACTTGTGAAGCCTGTCTTCAGGACGGAACCCGAAGAAGGAATCCGCCAATTAATGCTTTGGTGATATTGAAACGAAGACCTTCAATGCCCCATGAAGTTCCGGCTTTGAGAACTTGTTTTGAGATCAAGGAGACGGATGCTGAGTGTAGGGATGCGACTTAAGCTGCCAAGGCTTGGGGGGTGGTGGGGACGACGGAAAAAGAAGCCAGACCTCCAAGCAATGCTAGTGATCGCCTCGGCACGAGGGACCAAGGTGCATCTACAAGTGTGGGAAATGACTCATTGCTTCGAAAGAAGTGAGGTCGCCTGAAGTTCCAACAAAGACGACTGATGTTTCGTTTTGTCTTGCAATGGACCACAGGGACCACCAACAAACACAGGAAACTAACCTGGCACTTAGCATGCGCACCCTCCGTCCGCTACCCTCCCACGCTTCTCGCCTTTCCATGGCCGCTTGCGATGGGGACAGCTGGCCTTCCTCGCACGCCAAACTCGAATTGGGGCTTTCGCCATGAGAAGGTTAGGATGAGGCTGTTGAAACGGAGCCCCATATACCTGCAAGCAACATGAGGGTGAGCAAAGCCAGAGGCCGTCTCGGAGGGTTTCCAGACTGTTAAGCTTGAGCTAAGAAGCGAAAGGCCCTAAGCCCTGGACATCAAATTCTCGAGTTGGGTGTTTTTCGAGTTTACGGTTGCAGCTCGGGGCTTGGAGCTAGGGCAAGCGGCTTAGCGGTTCAGTCTGGGGTGGCGGATTTAGGATCAAGGTGTCCCGATTCAAGGTGGTCAGGGCTTCTAGATGAAGGCTAGGGATTAAAGTATGTTGTTGGCATGGGCTGGCAGACATTCTGTGCACATCTAGTCTCACTGCTTAGGTGAGTGGCGAAGCTAAGTCCCAGGTGATCCTCAAGGAGCTGGGAAACCACCTGAGCCTTATCCTTCCACTCTTCGGCAGAGAAACAGCAATCAGCCAGGCACTATTGGGGTGGTTTACTGCTGAAGACAGTAGGATGGCCTAAGCATGCATCCCTGTTTTGCTCCATTCGTTCGCGGAGCAAGATGCCGCGCAAAAGCCCGGTCCAAATGTGAAAATGGATCGAAAATCTCATGTCAAAAGTTTCATGCCTGCTGATGCTGGTAGCAGGAGATTCGATTCAAACATACATGCAAGTACTGCTAAACATTCTCCCTCATACTCCTACTGCTGTTGGAAATGCTCATGGCTGATGACGGTAGGCAGGCCAACACGCATTCAGCGGTTGATGTTTCCTTTGCTCCGGTTGGTGTCGTGTTCCTGGTGCTCCTCCTGCGAGTCCTCCTGCTGCCTGCTGCTCCTCCTCATCCTTCTCAAGCTGCGGCTGCCCCGCTTGTCCTTACGGACCCCTTCCCGCTGTTACTTTCATCTCTACCAAGTGCGACTATTTCTCGTCCTGACGCGGCTACTGGTCCTGGTCCTCAGCGTCCTATGGATAGTAGGTGCACACGTGCATTTGCAAAACACTGCCAAAGGTAACGAACCCTCAGCCGTCCAGCATCTCAACTACATCACAAGGCAGCACTGACCCAGCAGTAGTCTTCGAAGTAAGCTCGAAAAGCTGTCGTGTTGTACCTGAAGCCACCGATCTAGTGTTGACAAGTGTATGAGTCTCAAGGTAAACAGGCCTGAGTATACATGAGAGCTTGTGCCCTTTAACAACTCCTCAAGCATAGCAAGGATTGTGCCTCTGCTTGTGGTCGATTTTTGATTGGATGAGTTAAATGAGCAAGTTTGCAGCAAAAGTGAAGAGCTTAGCTGCGGGTCAATGCGTTCCCGGAGTCGTGGTGCTGAAGTTTCCACCCCTCTGGTACCGGCGAGCGCTTGCACACGCGTGCTATCAGACCATCTCAAGCCGTCGAACTAGCTCTGTCTGGCTTCACAGTTCTCTGCCACCACCGGCATGCAGGGCTGGCTTAAGTTCTGACAGGCATGCACAGCGACAGAGACACGAAATCTACAGTCTGACCGAGAATTAGCACTAGCCCTGAACCGGCCCGAGCCTTTGAGAATCCAAACGGAGTGCTCGCTTGAAGTTCGAGGTCTAAGCTCGCAGTGATCAGCGCCGAAGATGCGAGTCCGTTCTTGGTCTCGCGCCAGCTGCCGAACACGGTTCGGCGCTTGCATATGAATTTCGAAGTTGGTGGGGTGGGCCGCAGATGCAAAAGGTCAACCCTGGATGACGTTGAACACTTCTCCAGATGCATATCGAGGAAGCTGGAAAAAACTATAAGGTTGAATATTCTGCGATCCCTTACAGCCCAGCACTGTTCTTCAGCCCTTGCTGTTGCTATCTATGGTTATTGCCAAACTCTTGTTCACTTTGGGCTCATGCTCTCTGCGCAACTCGTGCTGAAAGGAAACGTCTGAGATCCTCGTGCGGCATTTGCCAGTAGGTCCATGCTCCCCCCCCTGTCTTCGCATAGAGGGATCCATCAGCATCTGTTGCACTCACACATCAAAGACCCTACCACCTGAAGATCTTGAACTCTACCTGGAACCCGAGCTCGTTTCGGTTCTGACCTCCTTCCCACACATTGAAGCTGATGGAACCCCCTCATACTTCGTTGCTGTGCGTCGGTCGGCAGCTTCGCCTGAAGCACCTTGCAGAGCATCCTGCGGAAGGTAGAACCTATTCCATCCGTTTCCATCGTGAAGTCATGTTATTCTGCTTGGGATATCCATGTAGGCATGCAGACTGATTCATGACCTGACCCCGTCAGCTGATACGGAAACCCATGCACCCTGCTCCGCAATTTCAGCCATTCTGCAAGAAAAGCTCATGGCCTTTAGTGCATTCACGAATGGGTGTCGTTGTCGTGGTCGTCCTCGGCTTCTGCAGCTCGGCAATTGGGACTGCGAACACGAACAAGACTCCTGCTTGGTGGTCAAACGAACAGTCAAGAACTGAGTGCAGCCGTTGGCACATGGTCATGGCTGTCGTTGTGGTCATGGTCGTGGCTGTCGTTGTGGTCATGGTCGTGGCTGTCGTTGTGGTCGTGATCATGGTCATGGTCGTGGGAATGGCCATCGTCATGGTCGTGAGAGTGACCGTCATCATCATGGTCGTGAGAGTGACCGTCGTCGGTGCCATTCCCGGTGGCACCGGTCGCCTCCTCTTCACACCCCTGGAGATTGCCCGCCAGCACGGCTGCGAGCAAGGCAAGCAGGAATGCACGCCACGACTTCATGCTGAGGGTCGAGACAATAGGCTGCCAACGGCAAGCAGAAGACACTGAGACTGTTTCAAAAGCTTGAGCCGTGTGCATGTCACGCTGCAAGGTTCAAAAACCCACCAGGCCAAGCCAGGGGAGAGAGATGGTCGGGGCTGAAGGTCCTATGGGAGTGTTTGCAGTTTCGCTGAGGCCTGAAGCCATGGAATGCCATGAAATCATGAAGCCACTGGCTTCGGGTCCTAAGCCTGAAGGTATCAAAAGCACCCAGCCCTTAGACCGGACTGCTGAAACCTCCCTTTCAGGTGAGGCTGTTGGCCGTCGCTAACAGGCTCATGTAACATACCCGAACAGGTGCTAATGCCACAGCCTGAAGCCTTTCGTCCACGGGCGAACGCTTCCGAACCCGAGGCTTCCAAAGACAGCGTGGCGGTTGCAGGTTTCAGACCAGAGGCCACGATCTGAATTCCTCCCCCCCCCCCCCCCACGTGTGAATAGGTGCTCTCATGCAGAACATTGCTTGAAAGCTGCGAAGCCTTTCAAGCTCGAAGTGAACCTCGAGGCATCCCAAGCCCAGGTGCCCAAACCCTAGCATCCGGGAGGCTCCTCACGCTGGAAGGACAGGGACAACACGGCAAAATCACCATCGCAGCTGCGTGCCTGGACCAGGCCTGTCTCAAGCAGTTCTGTTGGCGGTTCCAGTGGGCTTGGGGCGGATGATTGTGGTAGGAGGCTGTGATTGTGGCAATGCGATGCCGTGGCGGGATGACCATGATCAGGCTTTACAGGATTATCACGACGATGCTTCTGATGATCAAAAGGATGACCGAAGAGAAACCTGATGATGTTCGACATGAACGCGAATATCAGCACGCAAAGGAGCCATATGAAGAGGAACAGACTGATAACGGTCATCATGGTGCTACCGAACAAGAGCACGATGAATTTGATGGGGATTGGCGGTGACGACTCTGGTGAGGGAAGCGATGGCGTGTGATCGATGATGCCGCTATTGCTTGTGGTGATGCCCAGGATGATGGCCACGTTGATTCTGCTTCTCCTTGTGTTGTTAACGACGACGACGTCGTCGCAGAAACCCCGGAGCTCAAGTCAGATCCGAGGAGCGGCGCAGCTCGGGAGCCTCTCGGAAGAGCCAGTGCCCGCCTTCAGCGGTCTGCTGCCACCTGCCACGCCCACTCGAGCGACTACCAAGCCAAGACTCAGAATGGCATGGCAAAAGCGCACTGAGTCACGCTGTGCGTGATACCAGCCAGGTATGAACATGATAGGGACGAATTGCCACTTTCTGTCGGCATTTCGGATTGAGCCCCGGCTGTTCCATCGCTCTTGGTGCAACGCCCTCCCCAATACTACTGTGGCTCAGCTCTGGCAAATAAGCCTTTCACGCAAGAGTAAGCAGTACTAGTGGGACGAGACAGCAGCGACAGTAAACGTAATCAACATGAGCACAACATGCTGATGAGAGCCACGGCACCACGAAGACAGTGACATGGGTGAGCACCGCCAAGCTACGAAGAACCACGAGGAAATCTCTACGATAGAAGTCAGAAAGCACGTGTAAACAACAGGAGAAAGCATCACCATCACAGCCTGAGCCTTTCAGAAGACACCAAAAGACAGATCTTGGCCAACGACTTTGGATCAGCACTGTCAGATTTGAGGACGTGGGGCACGGAAGAGTGAACGAATCCAGGTATGGTGCAGAGGGATGTAGGATAGGCCTTCGGGGCTTGCTTGAAAAACCTTCCGATTTATAGTCTGGAAGCTGCAACTATGCTTATAGGCTTTGGCATCAACTCTAAACCGCAAGCCTGACATCGTAATGCCTAGCAGAATGGCCTGAATGGCTGAACGAAGGCTTCTGGTCTATGCTATGCCCTGCTGCAAGCAAGCGAAGACTCTAGCCCCTTCGGCCTTGAAGCCATATCCAGAGTTTTAGGTCTTTTTAAGTAAGAAGCATTCTCCATTTTTTGTGGTATTATCTTTTTGATGAAGCCCTGGCAAAAAAAAGCAGGGTCGGGGAGAAAAAACAAACGCAATTCTCGGAGCAGGCCCAGGCCTCAGGTTGAGGCCGGGTGTGGCACTGGCCAAGCGCGGAAAGAACTGCGAGGGCAGCTTCTTCAACCTTTCAAAGGAGCTCTTCGGGTCTCGACTTTAGGGGGATTAGGGGACTAAGTCTTTCGGGTTCAGTTTTCGGGCGTTTCAAGGTTTCGGCTTCAAGGTTTGGGATCCTGGAAGTTGCAATCCTAAGAAGCTCCTTCGGGCTTCAGCCGGTCTCACGAGAGCCGTCGTGTTCTTGGGCTTTAGTGTTTGGCGACGTCTGGGATCGTCTTGGCAAGAGGACGGATTCAACGCAAAGTGAACGCAGTGGTCATCGGCTAAGCTGCCTGAATGCTGGCACCTCGAGGAGATCCGAATGCCCAAACCTCTCAATCCAGAAGCCCCAAAACCACCAAACACAAGCCGTTGCCGTTGAATCCTCCGACTCCCGAAACCCCCGAAACCCCTAAGCCCCAGAAGGCCCTCTGGGATGGCCACAGTATACCCAGGCGATGGTCGAGCTTTGCCTTTGGCCGCTGGGAGCCTTTGGGGCCTTTAGAGCCTTAAAGAGCCTCAAAAAGGAGGGGAGCTTCGCTGGAGGCTTTTGCTTTGTAATGCTGTTCTAGTCTATGGTGGGCTTTGGAGGATGACTGGAGGCGAACTGGGTGGAAGGCCCAGCTTGAAACCGAGTATCACCGTCCTGTCCGTGCTCAACCTCAACCATGAAGAACGCCGAAGCGCAGCTACGCATTGTTTGAGGAAATGCTAATCAGCTTATCATTGCCAAACCTTGAACCCCACTCAGGAAGCTTCTAAACCTCCACTGCTCACCCTCAATGCCTACTCGGAGCTGCTCCGAATAATTGTGGTCTTGGGGTTGCATTTGTTCTTTGATGCCAAGTAGGGTTCAGAGTGTTGAGGGATCGGGATGAGAAAGAGTCCATGATGTAGAACACCACCCCTCTAGCTTGAGAGAAGCTGCCAGGTCTTCCGGTCGGAAGGCGACTTGCCTGTGTCTGCGGGCTTAAGTTTTCAAGGTTAGGACCCTATTCGTCCAGGGTTGAAAGGCTTCGGGGATTGTGGCGAGGGCTGGAACCAAAAAAGGTGTCGTAGCCCTGCCATCACGAGCCATGTCACTGCAGCATCGTCTTACTCCATGGGCCAGACGTTGCGCAGTGTCCCTGCTCGCTGCAGGGATTCGGAATTGGGTCAGGTCGCAGGTGCTGCGAAATAGGTCTCATACCTTTAACTCTACACAACAGTGGAATGGTCCAGCAAGGGACGAGAATGAGTGCTACAACCATGCGCACAGCAGGCTAGCGGCTAGCTGGCTGACGAATGCGTTCCCATAAGCCGGCCTCCAGTTGGGCTTCGATGATCTGCATGATGCTCGGTGAGGTTTGAAGAACTTGGTGCCTTGTTCTGAACAGATGCAGGATCTGAAGGCCGAGCCGATTACCAAGAGAGTAAATAACTCAGGCTACACACGCAAAGCGTCAGCTGAAGCCAAGTTGCTGGAAAAAGTAATTCAATAAACATGCGGTGATGGTCAAAAGGCGTGCAGTGGAGCAGTCCACGTCCAACGGTGCAGAGGAAGGTACCTGAGTGAAGAGCCCAAGCGGTGAGAGGGATCTCACAGGAAGCAGGATTCGCGCGTTCTTGCCTTTTGCAGGCGGGGCCTGGGGCCTGAGTGTTGTCCTGGCACCTGATCACTTCCGTAGTTCCGAGCCTCGATCCAGGCCGAGAGATCAAACAGACTCCATTCCCCTTCTGAGCCTCTTGAGCAGGCAGACAAGCTGCCTCTGAGCGTTGCTCTTGCACAAACTTCGCCATGCTGGAAGCATCCTGACGAGACAAACAGAGATCGTGGCCTTGGGCTTTCGGTGTGTTTGGGGTACCGCCACATCAACTGGAGACTTCGTGTTGCTTGAGGGCTGCCTGGGTGCTTGAAGGATATTAAGAGACGGCATCGGTTCGGATATCTGGTTTCTGAACAGATGCTGGCACCGTTGCGTCCGCGAGCAGTCGGACTGTGTGGTGCTTCGAGCATTGCAGTTGCAGCATTGCATGGTGCGAGGTCCCGAGGTGCTGTTCGGTCTCTTCTGAACCCTGGGTCCTTGTAGACGTCATCCAGCGAGCTGGCCCAGGAAACAACGGCGTTGACATCGAACATCGGCACTGTCGGAACGGCAGGCCTGGGGTTTAGTCTTAGCACGCCTTAGCCCTTCGGGACGTAGGTGTGGCCCAACATGTTACGCAGGTAGATTTGCCTCCTGCGCCGTTTAGCCAACAGGGACGGTATAGAAGTACCAGTTGCTGCTGGCGACAAGCTTCAGACTAGGGCTCTCGGCTCTCCTCAAGGAACGCAGGACAAAGCTCGAAGATAGTCTGGCAAATAACAGCAAACCAACAAGCGAAGTTCCATCAAACATCCACGGGGCAAGACGGGCGGCATGTAAAGCCTCGGCAAAATATGCCACGCTGACGAGATCACGGCTGTCTGTCATTGCAAGATGGGCACAAATTACCAGGAACCCCAGTGCAAGACCTTCCGTAACGATATGCCGCGCCGAACACCCCAAACCATTTTGGCCGATAGTCAAAGACCTCCCAGCGTGAAGACTACCTGTTTTTCCTGCTCATGTTGTTCACTAAAACTAAATGCAGCGCATGCCAAGTGGAAGGGAGGTGTGGGAGCAGGCTTTATACTCCTTTCAGGCTTTGATTACTCAGACTACAGGAATCTTGCCTCATCACAGATTTCCTCACCTGGGTCGTGCAGAACTGTGGCGGCGCAAACCGTGCCCCAGCGTTCGGATGTAAAGTTTTGTCGTAAATACTCTAGTAGTGGCTCTCACAAGGGCTGTCTCGGATCCCCTCCCCACCTACTGGTAGAGGCCCAGAGGCCCGGGCCCCGGCCCCCAAATGAAAGCAAAACGTTCCCCACTTCTGTCTAAAGGAGGCTTTTTCTTTTTTCTCTGCCTGAAGACTGAAGAGGACGAGGCGCTTCGAGGCGTCTTGGAACGGTGCCAGCAAGGCGCTCACGGAGGCAAAGAAGGACTCCTGTCTGGCGATGTGGCCGAAAGACCCTGGACCCAGGGTTGTGGGTTCCTACACTTGTGCTGGTACAGCGGTGGGCCCACCGGTTCCGGAACTTTCAGGAAATCCCAAGACCCAAACCGGAGAGACACTTCCACACTCTGGGCCAAGACTCTGCGGCTGGCGTGGGCTGGCTCGGGAAGAACTCGCTTGCGTGGGCGTTCAGGGGCTTCAACAGCACCTGCAAAGGGCTCAAATCCGGGCGTTTCGGGTTTGAGAAGACCCCTCGCAAGTTAAAAGGTTCCACCTCGCCGCAGGGATGCAAAGTCTCCGACATCTTCCGTGGTCTTGCACACTTCTCCGGGGTGTTGTAATCCATCGCCGTGGCCTTCGGATAGCCGGGATTTCGCGAGGATTCCGTCGAAGGTAGCCGAACCGGAAAGTATAAGACGTAACTCGACTCCCTCGACCTCAATTTGAACCTGGATGCACGAGCAGATTATGCTGTTGAGGCTGCTCAGCTGCTTCGAAGCTGATGCTTCTCCCCGTCTTTGCTGACAACGTCAGGCTCTGCTTGATGCTTGCTTTGCCTGCTTCGCTTGTGCCACCGCGAACTGCCGAAGGCTGCAAGAAGTGCCGAAAGAACACTCTGAGCTACAGAAGGCAATGCAGAATGTTGAGGCTCCTGCTCCTCATAACCGCAAGTTCCTACACTTCAACCATTCGAAGGCTCCCTGATAAACCCTTGTATATACGAGAACTTGTCATTCGAATGTCTTCCCTGGTTTGGATCTCTCCGATCTTCGCCGAAGGCCTGAGACCAGCAGGCGCCTTTCAGCCCAAACCCTTCGTCGGACGGTCCTCGATCGGCTTCTTTTTGCAGGCTCTTGGAGTGTGCACCTGCTGTGGACATGGTCGAAGTGACTTTCGGGTGCTCTTGTCTCGACCTCCTCCTTCTGCCCCTACTCGCACTCCTACCCCTGCTGGTGCTGTTCCTGCTGCTGCGACTGCTACTGGTCCGGGTCCGACGACTGAGATACTCTTTGGCGACCAGGATGATGATTATGATGATGATGATGATGATGATGATCTTCTGGTTTTGCTAAGCAAAAGCTGGGTCACCACGGAGAGCAGACCTAAGTTTCCTTCTATCTGTCTTCTCTGGCATGGGACTTTAAGGGGCAAGTAGTGCGACCTTGTCTGCGTCCTACCAGCCGAGGACCATGTGTGCGAGTGACATGTGACCCCAATCTTCTGGCTCTTCACAACACGGATCCCTGTTCTTTTGCTCGCCCCACTTTCGCTGCTAGAATGTTGCCGAACACGAGCCCATAGCACCCCGGCCCCGTTGCTAGATTTCAGTGCTGACAGAGTTGCACGTCCCCAAACTCGACCCTATTCTCAGCCCGGGCATCAGACTGCCAGCTTCTGCAAAGCTTCGCCTAGCTTGCTCGGCACTCCCCCTCCACACTGCCCCAACATCCATCGTGCTGAACATCACCTTGACGCACGGAGACGAAAGACAAGCGCACACCAACTCCGTGTGATAGTTGCGATAAGTCTTGGATTACTTCAGTGCCTCTTCGACGTCAATTTGCTCGGCCGCTGCAAGCGCCTTGATCCAAGTAGTTGGGGGCCTTTGAGGGCATTGAAAGCCTCGGGAGAGTGGCTCTGGCATCAAGTTCTCCCTTGGGCCTTCCAGGGGTTCGAGGCTTCCTCGCCCAAATAGCCTGTTTGGAGTTGGCGTCCTGTGCTTGCTTCTTCTGCCTCCGAAAGGAACATCGAGTATCCCTCACAGCCTTAACCTTGAACCGCATGTCCTACGGGGTTTCAGTCTGCTTCACGAAGTTGGGAAGTAGAATTTTTGAGAAGAGGGTTTACGCCACACATTTCTGAGGACCTACCCAGCATTTCCGAAACCCTAACCCCCAAATGCCCATGAATATCTAAATCCCTCTAGCGCGGGCCTTGCGGAGAACTTGACCAGGACGATGCGGCTGCTGTTCCGGGACGAACGTTGGGTCCTGGCTGCGACCCGGCACCAGGTCTCAGATGCTTGGAGTTTGGGTTAGAAACGATGACTTTCACTTTTAGGTGCTTCTGCAGTGTGAGACTGCGCATGACCCAAGCCCCATGCCCAGGGGCATGGGCTCAGCGAAAGCAGCTATCTTCCCGCTTGAGGTTTCATCCCCCCAGCCCAGCATGACAAGATCCTTCACAGACATGACGGGATCGCAGACCACGGCACCCACACAAAACCCCGAACAGCTTGCTTGAAACCTAACATCGGGGGTTGTTCCTGCTCCGGTCCAGCAGGCTTCGCATGCGGAAACGTCCTCAAACCCACTTCGGGTTTTGGGCTTCAGGGTTTCAGGTTTAATTAGGGGTCTAGGACTGCTGCCCTGCACAGAATGTAAGGATGTCTGCATCTGAGAGTTTCGCACGTTACGTGTCGGATTCTTCTGAAGGTTCGAGCTCGCCTTGAACCCCAAAATGTCCACAACAAGACCCCTAAAGCAGTGCAATGAGCAACTCGATCAACAAAAAACATCTCTTCCGGATTGACGCGATGAGATCAAAGACGCTCGACCTGAACACAAAGTCTTGAAGCCTTCTCAGCCCAGGTGAAGTTGTCTTGGGTTCTCTGAGAAGGCTACGAGAAGCTCCTTGCTTTCTGCTGCCCGAAACACCCCAAATCCCAGGCCCGAGGCACATACAATCGAAGCTCCCAAAGCCCTGAGCCTTAAAGCCGTACGGGACTACAGATACTACAGCTGGCCGTGAGCTTTCCATCATCTTTTCAGATCGTCGCTACAAGCAGTGCCAGGCTATGTCAATGCCCGAGGAGCATCCGAAACCCTGAAATCGTATCCTCGCCCAACTGCGGGTGCCGAAGGAACTCAACCCTAAGAACCCACATCCCTCAACTCCGAATCCGACATCCTTTGCATGGCTTGTGACAGCCTTTAAACCCCTTTGCAGCCCCAATGGCCATAGAACGCTCAAAAGCGCGATGAAAGCTAATCCAGAAGTGCTGAGCAGCTTAGCTGAGGCCTGGACTGCGGGCGCTGCTGCAGAGCCGACGTCATAAGGCGAGCTTTCGGGAGCTGCCCTGCCTCCGGCAAAGTGGCGCTGGGAAGGTCCGTACAGGTCTTTAGGGTTTACGGCGTTTACAGGGGACGGGTTCAGGGTTTGGCTGGATTTGGCTTTGGGGTCCTTCAGCCTTCGAGGTACGAGCCCGAGCCGAGAATCATCCTGCAGCGCAACGTGGTCAAGTTGCCGAGCCTGGACTCTTCCCCTTTGCAGATGTTGGCACCTCGAGGCCACCGCTCGCCACCCCGGCGCGGGCTGCAAGGAGCTGGTCGCGACGAAGCACCTGAGACTCGACGCAGCGGTTATCGAGGGCCGGTGCTGGAGGAAACCGAATTCTGTGACGGATTTTACAAGAGTTCGCCACGGTTTCTACCCGGCCCATCTTGGCACCGCAGAGTCTGCAAAAGAGTCTGCAATGCGCTCAACTATTGTATTTGAACAGGGTCTACAGGGGGCTGCAGCACGAAACGCCACGAGTCAGGGGAGTTGTTTAGGCGTCGGCTCCGGTTGTGAGGCTGGGGTTGGGACCGGAGCCCGGAAATCGTCGATATTACTCAAGCAGGCTTTGTGGCACCTGCTGCTGCAGCCACGCGTGGCTCATCAGGAAAGATCAGCAGCTATTCGAGTGCTGGGCGCCGACTTGGGTTTGGAGGGTATGGGGGGACTTCAGTACTTGGGAGATCAATTTGCTTTTCTTCCAAGGGTTCTGTGTGATGTGCATGAATAAGGATCTCACTGGAGGAGCCAGGGTGAGATTTGGTCTTCCGTCTGGTTGAACTGCTCTTCAGGAACTGCGGCTCCCTGCTGCCACGGCACTGCCATTTTAGAAGAAATTCGCGAGAGGACGCTTCGGAGCTGCAGGTAGCTGTTTTGACACGATGTCAAGAAAACAGGCCAGAAAGGGACACACAGAACAGTCACTTGACGAACAGTGACAGTTACTTCACTACTCCTAAGGTGTCCTGGTCACAGGAGCGCAAGGCCAAAACATGCGTGAGAGATCAGCTTCCCCAGCTCTCAAACTCGGCTCGTGAGCCCAAGCTGCACAGAGAGAAGATTCCTGAGAACACTTCTGCCTCTGCAAACTTCTGGAAGGCTCGAGTCCGAGCGTTGGATGTAGGTGCTGTAAGTACTGTAGCCGTCGTCTTCGCTGCCATAGTGGTTGTCGCTGTTCTGTTTTCTCGAAGATGTGAGCTTCTGCTATGTAGCCCTGCATCGAGAAGAGCTCATTTATCTGTGAACTATCTGGCGTTGATGACACCGCAAGCAGCACTGTGGCTCTCTCGAACTCCTTTGAAGGAGCGCCTTAGATCTGAACCCCCTACCATTTAATTTCCAAGCCTCAGAGCACCCAGGCGGCCCCTCTTTTGCCGAAGCGAGTCGCCACGGGTCTTGTGGCATCCGGGAACCTGGACTTCGAAGTGTTCCTTCACATCCTCGGGGTTTACAAGGCTCGGCGACTAGACCAGACCACTCACGATTCCTGTTTGAGGACATACCACTGCCGAAAAGATGGTTGAGTGAATGCCATGCAAGTACAGACTGCCGGTCCGAATTCGATGTTAGATGTGCTTGTGGTTACATGTTTCTGCTCACAGTTGCTTTGGCGACCATCGCGTGCATAAACAGCGTGAATGGAAGGGTCATTCAACTGCAGCACCAACAACAGTCATCACGGGAATCATCGTGCGCATCAAGTAATCCACGGCAAAGCTTACGACTAGTTCTGACTAGTGATCGTCGTGACTACCGGGATTGCTAGCTTTCAGGTTTACACTGTGTTTCCAAACAACCTACTGTAGCGCTCCGCCAAGTCAAGGCAAGTCGCAAAAGTTCCAGGGTCGCGTCGGCCAAATCTTAGAAATACGCGTACAGAAGGTGGTCCCAGGTCTCAAACTCAGCTGCCATAGTAACTATAGCAACTAAAGTACACAAGGGAACAGACTCTTCCGTTTTGCGAAACAGAGACAGTTCCTTAATGGGCCCACCCCGTACATAGTGCTCTGTAAGGGGTGAGAACTACTGGATTTGGAAAATGTGGACGGTAGAGCTGCAGCCTGCGCATCAGCGCATGTACAGGAGAGCCACACGCGAAGCCCTGGAGCCTAAGCCTGCAATGAGAGCGTGCGATAGTTGCTACGCAGGATCTTTTGTGTTAGGAACTGGTTTTTGCGCGAAGAAAGTAGACCCTCCAACTCGAACCCAAAGCTAGGACCCTCTCCTTAGCCCACTGTTCCCTCAACATCGCACCCTGCACCCCAGAGCGGCTAAAACAAGGACCTGCTGAACCTGCAGCACTGAACCGCAGAAACGGACCTTGCGAATGTCGGCAACTTTGTTCTCAACCCCAGACCTTGAACCGATGCGAACCTGTTCCCTCTGGCATAACTCCGCGTGTGAGTAGTTAGTAGTTCATCACGGGTCATGAATATGATTATGATGCTGTCGATGATGATCAAATGACCATGGCGACGAGCCAGCATTCGTCGTCGTCCTCGTCCTCCTGTCCCCCTGTCCTCCTGTCCTCCTCTTAGTCGCTTTCTTCTCCCCCTCAGACTCGCAGAAGTTAGTACAGGTCGCCGTCATCGTCGTCGTGGCCACAGTCGTCAGGCACAAGCGCCGTAGTACAAAGTAGCATAGGAGCAGTCGTCGCCGTAGCAGCAGCAACAGTTCTGTTACATGTTGCCACGAAACCTGGTGTATGTGTGTGTGTGTGTGTGAAACTTGTCCGCCGTTCGGATCTTTGGGATTTCGCGTTTGGAACCTCGGGTCTGAGAAGTGCGGGCTACATGACAAGAGTATAAGATGCCGAACCCTGACCTCCAAACAACATGATTCGTCCAACTTTGGCTGTCAAGCCCGCGTCTTGGAGCTTTCCAAGTTGAACCCCTAAGCCTGGATGGGCTTGGATTCAGGCCTGCAGTCTCTACTCAACCCTACCTTTGTGGGGTCGGAGGGATCTGTCCCAGGCCTTACGGCCTCAGTCACAACAAATAATTACTTCGGCGCCGCCGCCTGCGAAATGAGACTGAGGCTTCCGGTGTTTGGGATTTGGGGGTCAGAGCCTGGGAGTCAGGCTGTGGACTGTCGGGGTTCCGGGGCCTGTAGGATCCTTGGGCGGAGCGTTGTGTGCTACCTTTGGGGGTCCGGACTTCCAATGTGGAGGTTCGTTGAAGGTTCATCTAGGAGCCTGGGGAATGAGCAATCACTGTGCTCATTCATTCGAGCGAAATACACCCCCAAACGCCGATTCAACGCTGCTTCTGCTCCGCCTCCGAGTTGAGACTTATAGTTTTCACGGCTTCGGATTGTGGCTTCGGACAGTTTAGCAACTCACCAAGTAGAATACACAGGACTTGTAACTTCGACCAAGAATGCAAAGTCATCCAGAGCAGCGAACCCTCGAACCCTGGAGAACCCTGAGGCCCCAAGCACAAAGACGCTGCAAGTGTGCTGAACCCTACCGTGTACAATCGCAATCACGCGTAATCACTTAATCCCGCCACTCCCCCTGGGTAAAGCTCCTGCAGCAGGCACGCAGGTCTGCTAGAAGCCAGCGAGACTCGCTGGAGGGAGTAGTCTGCCTGATTCCGGATTTTCCGAGGTTCCGAGGCTTCCGGAATGCCAAACTGAAGCTGATGCCCTTGAGGCCCAGGCCGTACCAGTGGCCGGCGGGGCAGCTCGCGTGAGCTATTCGGCGTCAGGAGGCCGTGACCGTCCTGCTTGGTCCGGGTTCTACAGCCTTGTATAATTTATCTATATACTTACCCTTTGTATTCATTGGTTTAACGGTTTACGAATATACATGTACACGTGCGCTGGATGTCCGATGTTCACAGAAGTGACGTGTGCTGTCACGCTGAGGCCTCTTTGTTTTCAGTGCTGGGTTTGAGGGGGCCCCTCGAGTGAGTGCCAAAGCCCCACTGCCCACGAGCGGGGCCATCTGCAAAACTGAACGTCAACAGCCCCAGCGAGCTCAAGAAACTAACGAATGTCAACAGCAACACCACAGTCTTGAATGGACAAAATCTCTGTGTTTCCCAAAGTTCCGTCCAGTGGCTCGAGGGGATACTCTTTAAAGAATTCTCGTCTGAAGCTGCATAACACTTTCGACCAAGGTTTCGGACACGAGGTGCAACAAGTTGCAACTGACTCAATACCTTTTGGCACGATTCGATCCCCAACGAAGACTTTACCAAGCCCTGTAGAAAGCGTTTAGAATTTTTTTGCCCATACCGTTGGAAAAGTTTGGCTTTGGGTGAGACCCTGCCAAGCCTCCACATCATCGAGCTCAGACCTCGCTCGTGGCGAAATGCATGGTCTGGACATCTCCCACCACGGCTACACCTTGACCACGACCACTACCACGACCAACGCCACTGCTCCTCCTGCATCGCACTTCGCCTGGTGTGTTCTCCCTTGATTTCGCTCATGTTCTCGTTGTCCTGGCTGCTGCTCGTGTCAATGATCAGGGGGAACCCTCTCCCCCGCCCCCCCCACGTTCGCCAATTCATTACCGCCCCCCTCCGCGTCATCACAATCACAATGAGGGTCGCCGACACCATCATCATCCCCTTCATTGCGGCCACGATCACTGCCATCATTATCAACAGTATCAGTCTCGTGATCCTCTCCATTGTCAACGATTGCCAACACTGCTATCATGGGCTCGCTGCTATCAGCATTCCAAGATCAACAAAGAATTGACAGCAAGAGCCGTACACACAACAGCAATCAAACAGCACGAATGGCAATACCTGCTTGCGTTCCGATGCAATGCAGTCTGCAGGCGGGCGGTAGACGTCTTGGATTTTCTCGCCTTACGGACGCTAGCTTCAACAGCTAACGCCTGGAAAATGGCATTCCTTGGGGCTCGCAGAAGCTGTCCCAGGACTTGGGATGGAATCGTGGCTGTGCCGGATTTCTGACTCAGTGGCATTTCGTATCCCCATGCCTTGCGTCTCACACTGCAGCCCCGCACATTGTCACACGGCAGAGGAGCCGACAGCGCCGAGCAGAAGGAGTCGGATGATGGCGACCGCTTTATCTGAGCATGCGCCACGCAGTTGGAACAGGTGCGATCAGAAGAGAGTTCGGTGGACATGTTGCAGTGAAGGCAGCAAGCTTTCGGAAACCTATTTCTGGCGCCCTCGATGATCCTCGATGCACCGAAACTCCTTGCTACAATAGGCTCCGGTTTTGGAAGACAGCTTCTGGATTTGCTTCTGTAAGATCCTTTTGAGTGCGGCCCAGCCCTCTGCACGCCAAGCTGGGGCCGAAACCCCGCCGGAAGTCCTGACCCCCATCCTGGAGCGTTCAAACCGACCCCGAATGCTGGGCCACGAGCCAGAGGATTCTCCGGATCCACGGGCTCCGCTGCCAGAGGGCTGGCCTCCATCATCAAGTCTCGTATAAGTTCTCTGTGTTCACGAGCTCGAGCAGCCGCAGCCTCTCCCATGGCGTAGCTTGACCAGAGCGCTCCTGGCATCAGCCGGATGTCCATGACGTAGACCTGGCATCAGCATTGACCCTGGTGATGATCATAAACATGTCCATGACTTCTCAGTGACGGTGGTGACTGGCCGATTGGGGTGACGATGTTGAGGGTCAGGGACCTGTGCCGGCGATGATGGCATACCGCTGAAAACAAGTGCACATACCAAACACCAGAACAAGGAACTAGTATACACAGCACAACAGAGGCAGGAGCGGTAGCAATAGTAGCCACACTTGTAGTAGCAGTAGCAGTAGCAGTCGCGGTCGCGGTGGCTATGGCTGTGGCAGCTGCAGCTGCGGTTGCAGTAGCAGTAGACTGCAACTACGAGCACGACTGCGACTCCGGCTACGACTACCACTACCACACAACCACTACCACCACCGACGGCTGTGGTTTTGGCTCCGGCTCCGTCTCCTGCTCCTGCTCCTGCTACTGCTCGTAATCGTCGTCGTAGCGGTAGTGGCGACGCGTAGAGTCGGAGCAGCAGCAACAGGCAGCAGCAGCAGAGTAGCGGCCAGCCAGAGAGTGGAAAAGGAGTCCGGCAAGGCGGGCCCGCCTTTTCAAACTGCCGATGCTCCGCATCCAGCCCAATTCCGCCAGCCATCTCGTAGATAACCTGGACAAAGGGAGCTCGGTTGCAGGACACCCACACGAGCAAGCCGCAAACCCTAACCCTCACGTCCTGGAGTGCGATTGAGCCACGGCATGGACAGGTTGCTTGCCACAGAATGGCTCGAGCGAAAGGCTTTTCCCCCACCTGCGAACGTGTCTGTGTTGAGTTGAGGCCAGCGGATTCATGTTCTGCCAACAGGATCATACTTCAAAAGTGTAAAAGGATCGTCAGACCCCAGAAACGCAGGTGCATCATCCACAGCATCTCTGACCCATGAAAGTCTATAGTCTCCAACGCTTGTCTTACAGAACTCTAAACCTGCTGTGCATATGTAAGTGCATATGCGACAACGCCGGCGCGTATGGCGGACGATGAACGTCGGCTCGTATGGCGGACGCACCCTACTTCAGGTTCACAGAACGAACACATGCATTTAGCATGCACACGAACCCACTTGCTAATAGTATCTGACTGACTGAGTCACTCACTTACTCACCTACTGGCTCGCTGGCCGACGACCTGCTTGCTTGCTTCTTCATTAATTTGGCTCGGCAGGAGTCGTGAACTCTCACAAGCACACCCACGCAATGAAGGAAAAAACAGGACAGAACAAGCTAGAACACTGGAGAACAGGAAGAGAATGAATCAAAGAGACTGACATGGAACCGAAAGTAATTGGCCATGAATAGAAAGCAGCGCACCCTCGACCCTCGCCCTCACATCTCAGGACAGCGGCATCAGCGGCAGCTTCCGGAAGACCCAGGACCGAAGATCCAGGAGCTGGGCGGGCCTGGCCCGCAGCGCAGAGCCACCGGGCTTGGGGGCTTGGGGCTTCCAGCCAGGTCTTAGCTGTTCGGTTCTGTTAAGACGTCCTTTCAGCTGCATATTTGAGAAAGCTTGGGAGGCCAAAAGACTCCTGCCAGGTGGATGAACATCAGTCATCCATGTGCCGGGAATGTTCTTGGGTGTAACTTCAAGAAGCTTGTCTTTCCCTGCCGAACCAGTCTGGTAAAGACAGCCTAAGAAGACTGCACACAATGCTCAATGACAGTCAAGGCTACCGGCGACCGCTTTCGATCAGAGTTTGCCGCCCACATCAACGGCTTGGTCCCTGGCCCCCAAATAGCGAAGGTGAAGGTCGGTCCACCGGACGGGCCCTCAGAGCACTTCTGGGTGCTCTTTTCAGAGTTCGTTTTGGAGCGCAACTCAGCTCTTCTTGGTGCAGTTCCCCAAAGCCCTAAACCCTGAGAAGCGAGACCATCGACTAGACGTGCTGTGAGTTGAGGATGCAAGATGTCGGGCTAAGGCCAAACCCAAACTTAAACTCCAAAAGCAATCAACTCACACACCCTCTAACTCCCGGACCCGTGCCAAATCCCTGAACCCAGTGTGGCCTGAAGCCCTCTGCGCGAACGCCCGAAACGCCCTGCCTGCCCTAAACCCTAAACCCTACAGTAAACCCTAAGTTGTAAGCTGAGGCGGCCACGTCAAAGTAGGGCCCACCCCCGCTCCAGACCTCCTGGCGGCTCGGCTCACAACACCAGCGCCACACTGTCAGAGTCTCTGAGGATTCGGGGAGCTTGGGCTTCAGGAGGGAGCCTCGGAGTTCCAGGAATTGGAGCTCCAGCAGCGGAATGGAAAAAGGAGCCAGAGGGATACTTTACGTGAACTGCTGCAGGGGTTCTGCTCTACTTACTGAGCCTGCAGCACAGGCATCCGAAGTCACCAAAAAATCGTGCAGGGATGTGCAGGGCACCCCAGTCCCATCCCTGCCGTCCCTGAGCCTTGCCGAAGAAACTTGCCTGCAACTAAGGAGCTTCAGAACCCGGCGAGGGCCCTGAGACCCAAAGCCTGTGTGAAATCTTCAGCCATGCTTCACGCAGGAAATCGCTAGAAACAAACTCTGCCGGCATGACGTCCCAGAAGTGACGGGCTGCCTCCGTGACGGCCGCTGAGCCCCAAAACGTGGGCCCCCAAAGTGGGTTGTCAGAATGCGATGAGGGCTGCACAGCACTTGGAAAGCATCTGGAGCCTTCCGACTGAAGCCAGCGGGGAGGCTGGTGTCTGAGATGTCTGGGGCGGCGTTTGGGTCCTGGCACGCGTCTTGATTCAGAAAACTCACGAGCTTTGGAGGGCATGGCCGGGTGCAGGATCAGGGCGTGCGGAAAGCATCTTCCTCCAGAATCTACGTGACATTGCGAGCTTAAACCCAGCGCTGAAACCAGAATCAAGAGGCGTCAAAGCTCTAAGGCGTCGCGTCGCGTCGCGTCGCGTCGCGTCGCGTCGCGTCGCGCCGAGATCCCGTCCTCGTGGACCAAGGTGTTGTCCGCAGCCCAAATGGGCGCGACGACGGTGGGCCTCTGGAAGCGGAGGCAGCGCCGAGGCTTTCTCAAACCTGCGCCCCAAACCTGAAATCGGAGGCCTCAAGGTGGGATCATCCTCGCGGCCGAGCTCGTGACCTCGCGATTGCAAGTCGAAGTTACGCTGGCGTCGGGGAAAGATGCCTGCTAGCGCGAGGACCTCCTAGCTCTAAGCTCTGAAAAATTCTGAAAAACTCAGGGCATCACGGATCTGCTTGCACTGCAGGGCACCCTTCGCAGAGAGCTTGTCGGACTTTGGGCAGTGCTCGCACTCTTCCAGACTTCTAGACGACTCTCTGCCGGAGAGTCAGCATTATCTTCGCAATCATGACTCTGTCGTCCTTGCTGTCTCATGGCCCCTTTTACATGCTTTTCTCGTTTCTTGAGCACCCGCTGCCACTAAACCAATGGCCTGGACGAGGGGAATGATCCCACGCATCAGGGTGCCTCAGCACTGGCTGGATACTTGTCAGCCTCCGCAACAAAACGCCGAAACTATAGGCCCTCTCCCTGAACTTCGATGCGAAGGGTGGGCGCCAAAGCAAGGGGCTTTCTTTGCGGAGGATCTCTCAACACATGTAGGATGCAGCAGGTCATGTGTTTTTGAACGACAGAACAGCGACATGCGCTCGCAACCGATCAAGTACTGCTCAGCTTGAGAATGCTCAACAAAGGCTGAGGGGGATTGTGATTTCGGATCAAAATCACCGGCACCGGGCTCAGCTTTGTACGGCTCTGAGGGCTTGTGGTTTGGGGTCCATCGCTGCCGGGCTGCGCGTCGCGAAATTCACTGGAACATACCTTGGCAGGTTCTGGCCAAGCGAATCATGGCAACAAGTGGGCAGCGAATTATACATCTTGGAGGGATGAATAACACTTCGGGGCAGGACTGCTTGACCTAAAGATGCATGGAGCAACAAGAAACAGTGGATGCTTCGTCGCTGCAAGCCTCTGACTCTGACCTTGCTGAGGGCACCCAATGCCAGAGAGAGCCACGCTCCCCAAGACGAAAGACGACCTCCCACCTCCCTGCGACGGCAAAGGACGAAAACGGCATCTCCTCCTTAGGACGATCCTCTCACAATGTATCACTCGCATTGCGATCGACTCCAATGCATCTATAAAAATCCCAGACCAAGGAACGATTCTAGCTCGACGCCCGTGTAGAGAACGCCAGGCCTCTCAAGAGAACAGGCCCTCGCTCGACTCGGGCTTTCCAGCTGCGGGGCTTCAGTTTGGGGGTTGCAGCCGTCGAAACTTCGACATTTCGAGGCCTGTGCTGATCGGCTTCCATCTTCTGCACAACGGGGATGACAGTGTTGTGGTGTCTAGAACAAACAGTCGCACTGGCAGCAGAAGACTGACAGCACGACGAGACTAGTCGCAGAAGCACAAGAGATCGCATTCAGCATAGGATTTGTGGTTCACGGCTCATGCCTAGACATGTGAAAGTTGGCTTCAGTCGGGCTCTGGAACATATGCTTTGACACCCACCACCCCGGACTGGATCCCCTGGCCTTCTCTTAAAGCGTCCCTGTATTCGCCATTCCCACAGCCGCTTTCGACCATGGAAGTGCTCCTTGTAGGGATACTGGGCCTGGCCACATGTGGAAGGCTTCCGATTCTGTAGGACGGAGGGCGGTTGGCATCGGCAGCTGGAGTCGGTGTGTCACAGGGAGGCGCAGAGTGGACAAGCTGAGGTTTACAAGGGCCCTCCCTATGGTCCCTGACGTAGAAATCTGCCTTGGCCAAATCAGCAGGCTCTTTATCGTCATAGCTCCAGACCGGCCTGGCACAGAACAAGGCCGCACGGCTTTCTGCTTGCTGCTTGCATAGGGTTCCCCTGACAGATGCGGCGCCTGAGAGCCCCTGTCCCTTGCCGGTCAAGGTCAAGGCAGAAGGCCGTCCGGGCTTGCGTGTAGCAACGCAAAGCAAAAACAGAGCAGGTCTCAAGGACGGGTTCTCGGCCCCATTGCCGCAACCTGATGACCCACTAAAATCGAATGCCTGATGCCAGACGGAGAAACACATGAACCAAGCCCAATCACTTCGCTCCTTCACATACCGATTATCTGAAGCAGGTCCTCGAATCACTGAATCAGCTCACCGGGTACCGTTGCTCTCACATCGCCGGCCTGTGCAGCAGCACGCACCTGTCCACAAGCGACCCCATGCCAGGGCATCAAAGACGGAAGGTAGAACCAGAGAACCCACTACTCAAGCTGTCTGACAGGTCTGAACAAAATTGGGGCAATCTGCGCTGCTCGCCTTCCGACGAAGTTGTCGCACTCGAACTCCACCGGGGCACCATTTATCTGCATCGGCAGGAAGCCATTGCCGGGAGAACCTTGGAGCCACCCTTCGCACTGAGAGGCCCAAGTAAGAGAGACCGCTGCTAAGACAAGCACTCCGGGCATGAAGCACAAGGCCATCTCCATCACCTGCCACTGCGGGCTGATTCGGCCGATGGTGAAGGAGCTGGAACCTTGGAGCCTTGGGTTGGGTGGCCCCTGCAGACCCGAAGAAGAAACCCCTGGAAGTGTGCAGGGCGAACTCTCAGAGCCCACGGCCACTCCAAAGGTTCGAAGCACTCTTGCGGCCTTCATCCATCAGTGCCCGCGCCACCGCTGGGCCGAGGGCAGAGGCATGGCGGCGTTTCTCCGGCGCGGGGGCGCCATCGTCTCGTCTGTTCCCGCTTGGGTGTCACTACGCTGGGTTAAAGGTTTTGCGGTGCGGGGGCATTGGGTTTAAGACGGTGCATGGAAAGCATGCTCTCAGCCGGCTAGGCTGGGTTTGTGCAAATGCCGAAGCCTAGGAGGAGTCTTTCCTTCGCAGCAGAGATCGGCGAAGTACATACATACATACATACCTACCTACCTACATACATACATACATATATAATGAAAATATGTACGGTGTGTTGGTGTACGTCGCAAATGTATAATATGTATGTTGTTATCATACGCTATAACATGGTGACGGTGCCTGTACGCGTCTATGCGTTTTTGGCGATTTCAGAATGAGGCGTTTTGCATGGATGCGCGCGAAACCACAGCGAGAGAGCAATCTCATAGAAAATTATGGTTCAGGCAGGTGCGCGAACACTAGAGGCTGAAGTAAACTTTGGGCCTAACTGCGATTTCGCTCGGGTTTTAAGCTCATTTCTGAAGAGGCTGCAGAACAAAAGTTTATTTTAGAGAGAGTTTGTTTAAAGTATTGACTTGTCTTAGGTCTTAGGTTAGACTTCTGGGTTAAGGATTGGGTTTATGGTTGGTTGTACAAAGAGGCGAAAACGCTGCACATACCAGTGTTTTGGGCATGGGCGCAATATGAATGACGTTCTCATCCCCCCCTGGAACCTGCCAAAACGCATAGGCGCGTACAGGCGCCGTCACCTGTAACATCTGTAGCATATATAGATATATGCATATGGGCATATATATATATATATATGTATTACGTATGTACTTACATATATGCATTCACATACGATACATATGAATGTCTATTCAGTTGTACATATATTCATACATGCATTTTGTGTACACATCTGTACATATATTCGTACACACACACTGCTAAAATGCCTTGAGCCATCTTTCGTTCTCTCATAAAGCCAAATACGTTCACTTTTCGATATTTAAGTGGAACTAAGGAAGCAACATTACGACACTCTTTCACGTACTCTATTCTATTTCATTTACCCAGAATATTTAGTCATTTAATAGTGCACACTGAATCTTAAACACGACTTATCATCCTTTTGCATCAGGACTTGTGCAATCGGATAAACGTAAACATTAAACAGTCAGTGAGACTGACAGCCAAAAACAAAATACACCTCTCTACCGTCTCTAAGGAAACCAATAACAAACCGTGGTAGTGGTTGTAAGTGTTGTACAGATTCACAGGACCATCAGACTAAGTTTCAATCTAGTAAGTTTATCAACATCACAGACATCTAAATACCCACACCAGAAGTTTGAGACACAAACAGATGTCGTTGCTACTTTTGATACATGTCATGGTTTGATCCCCCAGGTGAGCAAACTGCTTCCCCATTGTACTGCTGCGAATCAAGGTTTCGGAGTGAGTCCATGAGTCAGAAATTGAAAATGAATGCAGCTTTCAGCGAGGCGGCATAGAACAAGTCCTCTGCAAATTAGAACGCTAGTAGGGCGCAACAAGACATTCTGCACCGCGCAGGTCACTCAGCAAATTCTCTTTGGAAGCCTCCCAAAGACTGCTTTTTTGAAAGAGTACAGCACTCTAGCTATTTTCTTGCAAAAGTGCTGTACCGTCCCAAAGAAACCACTTTGTTGCCAACATGCTGTACTGTCACACCCAGGCATCCAAAAAGAATGGTTTTTTGAGGACAGTGCAGCACTTTTGCAAGAAATTAACACAAAACAGTGTTGTTGCTACAGTGCTGTACGGTCCCAAACAACCCCCAAAACAGTCCTTGCAGGTTCGTGGAACAAGGTGGCCACTAGCTTCTTTGAATTTTTTGGTGCCGCAGACATGCACATGCAGACTGACACAGGAGCCGTGGAGATAACAAAACCAAGAAGGGCATAGGACCCCATTGAAATATTGAAACGCATTGAACTTCAATATGGCGGATCCAAGATCCGGGACTCCTCGAAAAAACTTGGATTCAGGGAGGGCCATATCGAAATATCGAAGCCATATTGAATTTCAATATAGCGGATCCAAGATCCGTTATCCAAGATTCCTCCCCAAGAATCCTGGCGAATCTTAAATCTTGGATCCTCCATATTGAAACTCAATGTGACTCAATATTTCAATGTGCATATTGAAATATTGGGCTGTATTGGGTTTCCATGTGGTCGGTTTGTGCGAACATTAGCAGATGATCTGGGACGCGTGAGTGGAAAGAGGGATTTGTGTGCTCATGGGGAGACGATCGTGAGTGGAAGGATGGTCATGAGGAGGTGCTCGTGAGAGGAAACAGCCGAAAACATAAAATACATAGATCTTTGGGGGGACCATATATATATATATATGTATACATATATATATATATATATATATATATATATATATACGTGTTCAAGATGAAAATATATACATATGCACATGTGTACCGAGGTACACAGACACATATGCACCCATGCATACGTTCATGTGTGTATGTGTGTATGTATGCGTGTATGCATATATGCTTACCTGTATCTGTATACATATGTATGCAGTGTGTGTACACAAACAAACATGCAGCATACGGACGTGTGGCATGCAAGAAGTGTTTGTACTCTATACAAGTCCATCAGTACATATAAGTATATATGAAACTACTCAATACATAAATACACATATTTGTGTATATGTTTAGACAGAGAGAGAGACGCTTGATATACACATGCACATACTCTGTAAATACATACGCACTTTAAACACACCGTAAATACACGTTGGTTAAACATGTTATGTACCATGGTTGCATGACCTGTATGTGTACTATACATAAGTGTTCACATATAAGTATGCATTACAGTATGCTATAAGCATACGAGATGTGTGTGTGTGTGTATGTGCATGTATATACACACACCTAAATATGTACATATCAGCGTTTGTACTGCACATGTTCTGTTTATTAAGAGTACATATATGTAAAACGTATGCACAGTCTATGCTGTGTATAAATAAAGAGAGAGAGAGAGAGAGAGAGAGAGAGAGAGAGAGAGAGAGAGAGACGGAGAGAGTGTGTTTTCGTATGCAGCATAGACATATACATCATGTGTACAAATGTGTGTGCGTGTGCGTGTGTGTATATATAGACGTATACTCATATGCTTTTATATGCATACACACATCCCTTTGCTTCCTTCCTTCCTTCCTGCCTTCCTTCCTTCCCGTCTTCCTGTCGTCTTTCATGTCCAATCTTTCCGTCTAACCTTCCTGAATTCGGTTCTTCCTGGCTTGCTTCTGTACCCATGTCCTTCTATCCCTCCTTCGTTCCTGTCTTCCGCTTTCTTCAGTCCGCCTTCTTTAACTCCAGCGCACCCTTTCTTGTGTCTGATTCTTGCTGCACAGGCTCCGTAAAAGACTTCAAAATTGAAACGGTAGCTTTCACATCTTCCCCTCGTCCTTCTCGCCTTGTCTGGCGTGCAGCACTTCAGTGGCTCGAACAGCTTCGGATTTGCGAGGGATTTCGCTTCGAAAATGTGATACTGATTCTGAGGGCCGATTTCGGCCACGGGCTAGGCTCCCGACGCAGAGGCTTCGGGAGTCGCAAAAGGAGCTGCATTCCGGCCACCACCAGGATGCCCGCTACATCTATGCTACAGGTCCGGTTACCACCCTGCCATCGGCCCCCCACCAGGAGGAACTTCGGAAAATGCAGGACCCTTCCTGCTGGCCTTCAGGTTTGGCGTCAAGCAGGATTTTTGCACGGCTCGGGACTACGATCTTTGTCTTGCCGTGTCGGCTTCTCTCTGGAATCTCAATCAGAATCATGTCAAGTCTCATTGCAAAGGATCCTCACGGCGCCAATACGGGTAGGCGTTGCTTGCTTTGCAGGCAGCCCCAGTTAAATCAAGTAAAAATCTAAGCTCTGCAAACTCCCCACGTAAGGCGCGTTATTCCAACCAGGAGCGCACCCGCAAAGACCATGAAAGCACAAGCTGTCCAAAGGCCTCTTCGGCTCGCCTCTGCGCCTGGAGTGCCAGAAGACAAAGCAAGGATTTACGTAAAATTGCAGGGTCGCAAGTCGCACGACCCGAACCTGTCCTGACGGTGCAGCAGGCGCAGGCTTCATGGCTGCAACTGGCGGGGTGCTCTCCCGCGCAGTACTTTAGTACCGACAAATTCAGGAAGTCCAACAAAGTCCTAAGTCCTGCAAGCCCGCAACGACCCTCTCTCAACACCACAAATGTGCCTATGAGTTCGCCAGCGAAAGCGGTGCCGCAGAAGATCCTTTGCTGCTCTTGAGGCTCGAACTAGTGCTTCAATGGGTTCAACCAGCCAACCAGCGTTGCTTGACAGGGTTTCGTGCCTCGCATTTTGCATACGATTCAAGAATTCAAACCTTTGGGAAGCGGTTTGCAAAAAGGGGGCATGGAACCGCACCATTTCAAGGTTCAGGCTGCGCAGACCTGGACGAGAGGCACATGTATGAAGATGGTCAACAGGTAGTCGATGATCTTCCAGCGGCATTTGGCATCGAAGTAGAAGCAAAGGGCTATGAGCCTCAAGAGGCAGGAAGTAAACTTCGTGGATGGCAAGGCCTCTCTGTACGGCCTGAGTCCTAGAACCGAAATCGGGAAACAAAATTCAAAAGCATGAAACCCCAAAGCCACCGATCCTGAAAGCTCAACCGGTGCCTGACAGAATCTTTGCGCTTGTCAGGAGTGGTCCAAACCGATGCACCCCTAAAGCCGTTCACCACGAGGGAGGGAGAGCGAGGGAGGGAGGGAGTGGGGGGGGGACTTCAGGAAAACTCTACGACCGCCCCAGCCCTCCTTGCAGGGACACTCGCCGCCGCGAACGGTGCAACAAACACCTCCATCTTGCATTGGGGATCCCCATGACCCAAGGTGCGCTCGGACCCTCGGAAATCATACTTCTGGCGAGGTGCATCCGCATACAGAAGGACATCCACAATGTGTAGTCGCCAAGCACCACGGCCACGAAATGGGCAGCTGCAGTTCTCACGGGAACCCTAGCCTTCCAAAGCGCCAGGTGATCTTCGAGTGCTGCACATATCGCCGGCGCTGTCATCAAAAAGATGTAGGTCGTGGAGAATTTCGTAGCAGATTTCAAGAGCTCTTGCCGCAAAGGACCTCGCACATACTCCGTGAAGGCCTGCGACTTTGGCTCATCAAGCAGCTGCTACTGCCACCACTACCACTACGACGACCATGACGACGACAACGACAACGACTCCCATTCCTACTCCTCCTCCGAAGACGACGACAACAAGTGCTACGACGACAAAAACTCCTACTATTGCTGCTGCTCCCGCTCCAGCTCCGGCTGGTGCGACGACTGGAGGACGCCACCTAACGTCTTTCTGACAGCGTCCCTCCTAGCCGTTGGCTAAGGCATATATGGTCAGGCGTCTGGCGTTCCCAGCCCCCCCCCCCCCCCCCCCAATGGTATGGTCTGATAGGGTGGGGGGGGGGGGGCCCTGGCGTGCGCGGAAATGGTTGGGGGCCGTTGGAGCTGCCACCGGATGGTGGGGTGGTGCTGGCGGCCAGGGCTCACGCGCAAGCCCTTCGCAAGCAAGCTGTAGACCCTTTAACGCAGCGCGTGCCCCTGTTTTGAGCAACCTTAACTTGTACTTAAAACGCTACACCCAACCCTACACCCCACCTAACTGCAGGCTTTAAGCCTAAAGCAGAGCGTACACCGCAAATCCGCCCTAAGCCCTTGTCGACTCGAAGCCTTATACCTTGTAACCGTAAACCCAAAACTCAAAAGCTTAAGCCAAACCCTAAACCCCAAAACCCCACAAACACCCCACAGGGGGAAGAGGAACCCCACACCCCACACCACAGGGCAGGGGGGGGGCCCCACCCTATATCCGGACCATTGACCTTTGGGGGGGGAGGGGGGGGGGGGGCTGCGGAGCGCGTGACCATATACCCGCTGCCAGTCTGCCCATGCTGAGTGCAATCAAGTTTTCTGCACTCCAAGGATTTATCGAGTCAGATTCTGTAAACTGTCGGACATAGGTACTGAGCACTTGCCCATGCTGAAGATGCACCCGTACATTGTGAACACCTCGAAAATGGAACCATCACGTTTGCTCGCCATGACCGCATTTCGCATCACAAAACTCCGAAAGTTGTGTGACCGCTTTGGCCCACACCTCAAGCATAAACTATGTGCTCCCTGCCGAGGCAGTGCCACAAGGATGTGCGGGCAAACTTTGGGGGTAGACCCTAGTAGTACTCATACTGGTAGTCGTACTAGTGCTGGTACCAGTAGCAGAAGCAGCAGCAGTGACAGTGGCAGCAGTAGGAGTGGGAGTAGTAGTAGTAGTAGTTGTTGTTGTTGTTGTCGTCGTAGTAGTAGTTGTGGCAGTAGTAGTAGTAGTAGTAGTAGTAGTAGTAGTAGTAGTAGTAGTAGTAGTAGTAGTAGTAGTAGTAGTAGTAGTAGTAGTAGTAGTAGTAGTAGTAGTAGTAAGTAGTAGTCGTTAGTAGTAGTAGTAGTAGTAGTAGTAGTAGTAGTAGTAGTAGTAGTAGTAGTGGTAGTGGTAGTGGTAGTGGTAGTGGTAGTGGTAGTGGTAGTGGTAGTGGTAGTGGTAGTGGTAGTGGTAGTGGTAGTGGTAGTGGTGTTGCTGAAGTCGAATTGGAGTAGAACTACGACTACGACTACGTGAAGCAGGGATCGGACCTGGAGTCCACCTGAAGCTCCAAAGATACTTCGACCTGCTGCCGGCCGGAGACTTCCCACACGGATCCGAGAAGCCCCAAAACCAAAGCAGGGTGTGTTTTGAGCACCCCCGGGCCTTTGGGCTGCCGTACCAACGGTCGATGGCCGCCATAACAAACCTGTGGCCCGGGCAGCTCCCAGCAATCTTGGGTACTGCGCCTGACCTGAAGCCTGAGGCCCGATGCTGCCCGAATTCTGACGAAGCCCTGCACAGAAAGCCGCTCTGAAGCTGCGGCTCCTCGAGACCGCACTGTGAGCACGAGGACATTAAGCTCTGAAGGCCCGCCGCACAGAAGTTAAGGAAGAGCTACCCACAGCAGTGACAATAATCGTCGAATGGACATCCTTGTAACTGTTGAGACAATGATGGTAGGCGGGTCGTTGATGTTTGCATTGCTACAAATTCCGCTGCTTCCGCTGTCGCTGCTGCTCCTAGTTCTGTTCGTTTGTTGCACTCTTCCTACTGGGATGGTGATTTCTCTTCTTGATTGGCGACACTGCTTATGTTGCATCGTTCCTGCTCCATGCTACTAGTGGTGCTGCAGTTCTTCCTCGGCTTCAAAGATGTCTCCAAACCCTAGACCCTGAAGGCCCTAAAGGCCCAACTCCACAAAGAAGACAAAAGGGCGGAGAACCCTTTCGTGCTTCCGGTCAGGTGGCTCCCTGTCAGCTTCCAGGCTGCAGTGGACGTTCTCAAGGTCGAAGCGCTCCTCTGCGATCGCGAATAGCCATTACTTACCTTTGCTTAGTAGGGAATGGAAGAATGGTAGTGATAGTAGTTATAATCTATAATTGTACCCCATTCCTCCATTCCCTACTATCCAAAGGCAAGATTAGCGGCCGTACTAAGTCTAAGTAGGCTTCCACGGCATCGCAGCACGGGAACATGACAAGGGAAACCCACAAAGAGTCGAAACAGCTCTGAACAAGCCGAGCCCGCATCATGCATGGTTCCCAGAAATCACAGAAATCACAACCCACAGAAAAGAGCTCGGGATTCAAGGTGAAGGGTTTCGGAATTTGGGAGATTCCTTGGATGAAAAGCCGAGTCTCCAAATCTTGAAGAAGGGTGGTCTTGTCGCGGGCATTGCTCCGCAGCAGGTGGACCAGTCTCGATTGCATTTGTCAGCTCGCGGCTTAAGTAAGGAAAAACACGCTCCAGAAGTCTTGTCAGGCTCCTTATTCATCCTGACTCAACAGCATCCGAGGCACAGTATCAGCGGGTTGATGGCCACACAAACGCCTTTCACCCTGGGATCATAGTTGTTGGCATCGACGATCCAGAAGAAGCCTGGACGAGCAGGCGACACTCTTCAACGCAAAGACCGCACAACATGTCTAGATACCATGCTCGAGCGCTAGGTTCGTGATGCGACCTGTCCGCGACAATGATCTTCCCCTCAGCACCGTCATCACCAACACAAGCAACAACGACATCAAGGTCATCAACGGCGTCACCGCAAGGTTCAGGGGACTTCTCGAGAGAAGTTACAGGGCAAGTCTGTAACTCACACCGGAACAGAAGCTGCTTGCAGTGCACACAATCGTTAAACTTGCAGTGCAACAAGACTGCTTCCGGACTTGTGCGGCCACCGATACAGTGTGTCGAAAGACCGCCATTCTGTGTTTGCAGTATTAGGCCGACATGCAGAAATGCGAGCGGACATGCAGATACCGTCCGAGATCCACAAGACCAGTTGCATCGCGTGCAGCCCCTTCTAGTCGCCAGACAAGCTATACTGGCAATTTCACAATCATCCTCATGAAAGCATCGTCGAGACCTGCACCAGTCAATAATCGTCACAAGTTTGTTTGTTCACGGCACTCATTCCCACGAGGAGCACCCACCGCAGTGATTACACGTCTCATGAACTGCGTTATGGCGGGCGGTTCGATCGTTAATGGTGCTTGCGGTGGTAGTTGCAGCGGAGCAATACCGGCAGAAGCAGCAGCAATAGCAGCAGTAACGGCGTGTTGGTCAGTTTGGCCACAGCAATCATGCTTGCTCCGGTGCTAACACCAGCAACTGATGCTCGATATCCCGTGCATTCATGTATTGTAGCTACCAAGCCACACTGGCTTTCAAGCAGTCGGAGATTTCTAGACCTTGCGGTTTGAGGTCTTGAGCAATGCTTATGTTCTTGCGGCAGAAGCTGGGCTTAAGGTCTCTGGGCCGCAAAATGGCCTGCCATGATGAAGGACCCGAAGACGATCAGAAGGACAGTGCCTTTCTGCGCGCCCGCTCAAGTAGGAGAAAGGAACCAGCTCCTACCTCAACGTCTCTACGTTAGATGCAACTCTAATCCTGATAACCTAGGAAATAGGAATAGGAAAACTAGACTATGCGACGACTCTGCTGAGGCTCGTCTTCATACACACGCATGCATACGTACCTGCATGCCCACCCACATACCTACATACATTACATCACACCAGATACATACGTGGATACATACATACACACATACATACAGACATACATACATACATAGATGCATGCATACATACGTACCTAGGTAGGTACATGCACACATACATACATACATACATACATACACAAAAACATACATTAAATGCATCCTTAAATCCATCCATCCATCCATCCATCCATCCATACATACATACATACACGCACACCTTACGTTACGCTATGTTACATTGCATTACCTACATTACATACATTGCATGCATACATCACATACAGGCAAAGACACTTGTTGTGCCGCAGTCACAGAACGGAGCTCCGAGAAATTGCGGCTTGTTGCTGTACACTACACTACACATCCTTGCGCAATCATGCACACTGGCCGATTCTGCTACTCCATGATATGAGACACGGATTACAGCGTCAGGTTTTTCCAGACCTTACAAACTGTGGAGCTGTGTTGCGTGTTGTCAGGCTGTTCTGTGCTTGCTTCTAGTGCCTCATAGCGTTACACCATCACACAACATGGAATACTGCCGCATCAGAAGAAACACCAACTCTGAATCTCGTTGTGGATCATTGTAATCACTAGATGATCTTGCATCATGTTGGAGAGCCTGCCGATCCTCTCAAAGTCTAGCTATGAATCCCGAGGTCGCTGTCATTCAAACCCCGGCACACTTTACATCTGCCGATGCTAGACACACCTTGCGCCGAGGTGCGCTCCAAAAACATGGGTGCGAACACCAGCCCTCCCCTCGGATTGACCTGGCGGAGTTGAAGGCATCCACAGAAAGATTGCCACAACCAGCAGCCATCATCATCAGAATCGGTGTTGTTACCACCAACAACAACCACCACTGCGCGACTGCAGTCATTACAGGCGCGACGAACCCTGTCATAATCACCAGTGCGGCCAGTACAATCAAGAGCGGAGCAGTAGAATCATCACCATCACAATGATCATGTTCGTCACCGCTCTCATGTTCGTCACCATCGTCGCATGTTGCAGGAGCAAGCTGTGTCACACCATGATGATTGACGAAAGCATGCTCAGCAGAATCCCATCAGCAAGGTAAGTGGTTATTCACTCGCATTGAACATGAGATGTGATTTACCACGGCAAGTCGGGTAAACAAGGCCAGAGGGTAGATGGCCAAAATGACGAGGTTAATGCGGCTGTCGCCGCTGCTGCCGCCGGCAGTGGCGGCACTGCTGGCTGTGCAGCGGCAGCTGTTGCGCGACGGAGGTAGCAGCAGCAGTGACGTGGCGATGGCAGGGACGGTGGAAGTGGCTGTTGTGGTAGAGGTGATGACGATAACGATAACGATAACGGTGAATATGACGATGACGAAGACGATAATGTGGATGATGGTGCGACGATGCTTATGGTGATGATCATCACGAGGGGGGAATTATGCAGATTATGACGAAAGTATGAGGTGGCCATGCTGGCGGTGGTGGCGCTGACGATGATGAGGATGACACTGGGTGGACGATGATCATCTTGACGGGGAGGGTGACATTGGTGCCCATGACGACTTTGTGATCAAGAGGAAGATGACAATGGGCCTGTGTGGTCAACATGATAGCGATGAAGCTGACAAAAACTGAGGATGAAGAGCAATGCGAGGTGCTGATACCAACGATGTCGCTCACGATACCGATGACAATGATGACGACGATGACCATGATGATGATGACGATGATGCGCTGAGAAGATGAGGAGGACGAGGAGCGGGACGAGGAGCAGGAGGAGGAGCAGGAGGAGGAGCATGAGCATTAGCATGAGGATGGGGATGAGAATGCTGCTGCTGTTGCTGCTGGCAGCGCTAGTGGGGGTGGTGTTGGTGGTGGCGGCGGTGGTGCTGCTGCTGCTGACGACAGCAGCGGTTTTGGCGATGCTGAGGATGGTAAACCCGAACATCACGATGAAGAGTCGGACGAACATAGTGAAGACGAAGATGTCTACGGCTGATGATGATCTGCATCGTCTGCATCATCTCTGTCATCATGGCGTTGATAGCGGTGCTGCTGAGCACGACGGTGGCAGCAACAGATATCACACTGCTGATCAGTTCAATGCTAGGCTATGAAACACGACAGTAGGAACACAAGAAATACATTTTTCCTTCATTGAGACCTCGCACTCCTCGTAGCCCTTCTGGCCGAACCCACTAGATTGTTCTAGGGAGGCCCTGCGGAAAAAAAAAAAGATGCGTGCGCGCTGTGGCGCCAACCCAGAAGACGATGTCCAATCCACTAGGCTTATAAGGGCTTAGCGCCCTTCAAAGTCTGGGGCACTCAAGCTTTCATGGTCAAGACTTGGGCTGGCGCACCTTGCGATAGGCCGCAATCTCGAAGACGCACCACAGCCTGTGGCTAAGCTGACGTTCATTCTTTCGCTTTGTATGGTGTCAACCTGTGCATACGTAGACCGTTGGCCGACAGTCGTCAAGTCAAGAAGGGGAGAGAAGGAATGTCAGCAAAGCTCTGCAATGACCATGCTATTTGGATTGGAAGCTTCTGAAATTGCTTCTGAAATTTCACAGATTTCCCTGCTGATAGTGGCATGTCAGGCTGCTGTGCCTTCAGAAGCGATTGCGCTGTTAAGCACATTGCAAGAAATACGCAAAACCCTCGACCCAAGAAGACACATTGCCAGATGGTTTCAGAGAAGCCGTTGCGTTCGCAGCGCACAGCCCAATGCACTCGGCAACGGTTCTGACGCTCTGGTCTTCGTGATCGCTGCTGATTACAACTAAAGGTTTTCTGCCGGACCCGAGAGCCTTATGGGGGGATCGTCGGCACGCCGACGTCCCCCGACAAGCTACAACGTCTCGAGTTGTCAGCAAGGCTTCGGAGAGCTGTCCACCTTTCTGCTTTTCGTGTAGTCAGGATTCACGCGGGGATTCTTAAATGACGAACTTGCTTCGAATCACTTCAGGGTCGTTCATGTGGGGGTCCCTTACTTTATGAAACGCAACCAGAGCATAACTCAAACTGACGAAGGACAACGAGGTGCCCCAGAAATCAGAAACGCCCAAACCACCGCTAGGCAAGACCGAAGTAGCCGTTCCGGAACCCAAGCCCGGCACTCTTGATCGAGACCGCCTTGAAAAGTAGGGAGGCGACCAAAGGATTCGCAGCTGGCGGGACTTGCTGAGGAAGCCGGCGATCGCATCGATACCCGCCTTCGAGAAAGCAAGTGCCATGATGCCATTAAAAATCACCGTACCCTGTGCAATGGCTGATGGTGTATCCGTCCCATCATGACTTCATGCCTACGACTACTGTTCCTACTGCTTCATTATTCCTGTTAATCTTGGGAGCACACGGTCGCGATTATGCCTTTTGATGCTATCTTCAGCTTAAACGGCGCCCGGCGGGTGCGCCTGTCAGTCTGCTGTGGCGAATCAGCGTACTTCCAAATCGTGCTCCCCGTGCACATTTTGGCGTCCGCACTGTTTTCGCGCCGCAGTCCCGCGTGGCTCCACCTCCCGCAAACATGCTCCACACACACGACGCCTTGCATGTTTTCGGCCTCGCGTTCCCACCCACCACGGTCCGGCATCTTTCTGTCTTCAGTGCCGTGATGGTCGCGGTGACGTAGTGCTCGTAGTGATCATGGTGGTCGTGGCAGCGGTCGGGCTGCAGCAGTAGCGCGAGCAGTGGCCGTAGTGCTAAGTCTTGCGCTGGTGCGTTGATAACCCAATGATGTCGTCGATCATGTATTGCTGAAGGCTTGGGGAGCAACGACTGCACGGTAGACAATGTGACAACTAGCCCTAGCTGTGTCTCAGGCAAAAGCTCTTGCACAGATCCGTCCTCAGATTCAACCTCGCGCTATACTTGTGGCGAGGCTGGCTACTGCTGCATGTTGCTCTTTCGTTGATTGGTCTACGCTGGCAGAATCCTGATGCTTTGTGTTATCAAGAGCAGTGCCGGTGGCAGGAATGGCAGCCGCAGTGATAGTAGGAGCAGCAGCAGCAGTTGCCGCAGTAGCGACGGGAACCACAACAAGAGCCTTGACCAGAAGAAAAGAAATGGCGAATGACACCAGAGATCACAGCGCTTGGAGCACCCAGACCGCAGCGCTTCGGTTCGATGACAAACTGGAGCGCGGGTATGTTTCGCTTCAGGGTTTTAAGCCACCAACCTACGGAAGTACCAAACGATGGACGTTAATGTTGTGGAGATGCTGTGTTGGTCAGGAAGCTGTTTGTCAGGGACCCCCTCCCCCGTGCCTCCCCCCGCGACATGCTGCTGCAAGACAAAGTTCTGTTTGCGCAAGTCACTGGTGGGACAAGGTCGTCGGATTCTTGACTGAAGTGGACTCCATTGGTTAAGCCCATCGTCACCTCGTCGCTAGCCCTGAGGTTCATGTGTACAACCGAAGTGTGGAGGGATTGGTAGGCATTCCGTTTCCTGTTGCAGGACACAGAGACATAACGCAACGTCAAGATCTATTCAACTATTCAAGTCGCTCCCCCGCATGCCTCCTCAACTGACATGTTAGCCTGTAGCCGCTACGTTGCGCGAGCCTGTTTCTTCTCGGGGCTAGCTTGGTGGATGCATGCAGCGTCCACGAAGCACAGGTCCGATCTCGCGCAGAAGCTGGGCAGGTGCGGAGCAATGAAGAGGCCTGAAACGACTGCGAGGAAGCCGCCTCCAATAACCCAAGGCCCCGTGGGACAGCCCGGGTTCAGCTCACTCTGTAGACACGTCCAGTCCAATGCCACCAATCTGACATAGCCGAAGGTCGGGAGGAGGTCCAGCATGCATATGGCGTACACAAGAGATGCCAGCACAAGCATAAGTATAAGAAGAAAAAGATGGCTGGAATAGAGCAGCAGGGAAAAGTACTTTAGCCACCCTGACGTTCTCCATGCATGCGACAGAAAATAGTCGTAGCCTTGTGCTGGCTCGGACCAGTCGTAGAAGTTCGCCATCTGGGGAGACTGTGCCAAAGGCATGCGCCAGAGTACCCCGAACTGTTGTAAAGACTTGCGCAGCGTTATAGAGCGGACGAGGCTTTCTTCCGGGAACATGTTCGTCAAGGCCTCCAACCTTGATCTTGATGTTAGTGCTGGCGATGCTGGCGACCCGTCCTCGTCGTCCGAGAGCGGCTGGAGTGGGAGTGCACAGACTTCTTCAGCCGGAGGCCGTACATCGACACCACAGTCAGAACAGCAAGGGATAAGCGACAGGGACATTGAAACCCCTACTTATGGCGGCCGAACATCATGGCTGCTTTGCAGACGGGACAGAATCTCTTGGTAGCAGTCACGTGCCTGCCTTCAAGCCCGGTTTCCTTCCCCAGCTGCAATGCATCCGGATGCGAGCTAACGGCTAACATCGCAGAACCTCAGAATGTATGCATCGGTTTGTGGGTCTCGTGCGGAGGGGTCAACCGGATGTCTGCTAAAGCAGCATTTCGTTTTCGGTCCCGTCTCGAGCAGTTACTTCATGGGCTTGGGAGTTCGGGGTCCCGAAGGCTTGCCGTGGCCTCGCAAGTCCCGAACCATGGAACCCTTGGATGGGGCTGCAGCATCTGAACCGCGGAAACCCAACCCTGCAGTCTAGAATCTAGAAGAAATCGCTTTTTCCGAGAAGCCTTGCATCAACTAGACCTGGGTCCATTGGCCCGCAAGCTCTGCCAGAGCTAGGGGCAAAAAGACCACTGCCGTTTGGCAGAGGAGAGGTGTTCAGGTGCTTTGTACATGAAATTCAAGGTCGTCAATGAAGCCCCTCGGAAGAGCACTGAAGCCCTCGCGTGACTGCAGACTTCTCTCGCAGGAACATCATTACAAAGTTATCCGCCTTTTGGTTCGCCAAATATAAACATGCCTGCCCCCATTTCGCAGGCCAACTATTGCATGCGCTGCGAAGACAACGCTTAAAACACTTGCTCGGAAAGCACCTCTACAATCCAAGGGTGGTGTTAGACTTTGCACGCCTTTCGTGCAAGGTAGGTGAAAACGACGAGCGACGCTGCCGCGAAGCCTTGGACATCAAGGATTCGAGCAGACGCAAGAGTTCTCGAGACTTTAGCCTTTGCCAGCACATGCCAGAAACAGTGGTGATGGCTGTGAAAGGGAAGCTGGACCACTGCAGCAGCAGCAGGTGCGGAGCGGAGCAGAGCGGAGGAGCGGAGTAGGAGCAAGAGGAGGAGCAAGAAGAGGTGCAGCAGGAGCAGGAGGAAGCAAAAGGAGGACGAGCAGGAGCAGGAGGGGCAAAGCTGGAGCAGCAGCAAGCAGGGGAGCTGGAGCTTGGGCAGTGCAGACGACTGATGAGGTTAAGGACAGCAGAACCGAAAGAAACAGAGACCTTGTATAAATTAGCAATGACCATTTCCATTTTCTAAGCATGCCACCCCCCCTAGCCCCCAAACCATAACAACCTATACCTCAACCTTCAACTCACCCAAAACCCATAGGTAGAACCTTAGGAAAGACCCACCTGAAGACCCAAAACCATAACAACCTATACTTCAACTACCAAGAAGACCCATATGATGGAACCATTAGAAGAACCATAGGTAGCCACATAGAAATAACCCAACTTCAACCTCATACACCAACACTCCCATAGAAAAATCCCATATGCCCAACCTGAAATCCCTAACCCTAGAAAATGGAAATGGTCTTCTCTAATAAAATATCTATAATAGGAATAAGGTTTAGGAATAAGGTAATTACAAAACATAACATTATATTAGTAATAATGTTATAGTTGTTTAAAGCATAAACTTCCAAGAGCCAATACCGTCCCACTTTGTTTGAATTTGTTGCTTCAGTTTATAATACGTTTCATTTTGTTCAAATTTGGTTTTAGCATGTGTATTAATCAAAAAGTTAAGACTTCAGCAAAAGCAAACGCATTATATTCCATCGCTTGAATACCACCTAATTTGTTAATTTCATCACCATTCTTTTTTATCAAATCAACATCATCAATATTTTCATAAACTTATTTTAAGTACTCATGGTTGTCATATCTATATTCAGAGTTCATCATTAAGTAATGGAATTTCAATTCCAACTCGCCTTTGTTCTTCCGCTGTTGAGCTTTATGTAACATAGAGTCTTTCATAATCTCATAAGGTGGATACGAAAATTTCTTAACGAATGCCTTCATTTTCTTCACATCTATTTCATCCATTTTCATCTCTATATATATATATATATCAGTTACTACGATCGCAGACGTTCGGTGCCCTCACTGAACAGACTATCGGCGATCGCACCTTTTTCATGCGACCGCAACGTGGGAGTCGGCCACAGTCGGATCATCAAAATTTCACTTGATCTTCACAAGTCCGATCGGACCCCCGATCGCCGAGGGGTGCGCCATGGCATTCGCCACAGACCGCAACATCATCCGATCGGACACATCAGACAAGCGATATTCCCCGCGAACAAAATTAAAAGTCTTCGATCGGATCATCGGGCTCCGGCGACGGCTCCTCGATTGGATCATCGTCGAGGGGGGCCGCGCCGAGCAAGTCAATCAACCGCCGCTCGGCGGCACGAAAAGCTGCATCAGGAGCAGCTTTGGCTCTCGTCCGAGCGGGAGTAGCGCGAGAAGCCTGGTACGCCGCGATCTGGGCGGGAGTCGGGGGCGCCTTGGTCGGCGGACTCGAGCTCCTCGTAGACACCATGATCTCGGTGCCGGGAGGGAGCTGCGTACCGGGCGGGAGCTGATCTAGCCGCCGCGGGGGCTGCCCCGGAATGACATAGTGAGCTGGTCCGCTGATGCGGACATCATCGGGCACCGTGTCGAGCGATCTGGGGGGCTGCCCTGGAACTATGTACTGAGCAGGCTCGGCGAACAAAGGAGAACGCCCTTTCGGAGCCGCTCGGCCTTGGCGCGGCAGACCAGCCTTGGGATCCACATAGTAGACCGGCTGATCCATGCCTCTGTTTCGATGAGCTCTGGCCGGGGGCGCTTTGGGCACCGGCCGCTGAACAGAGGGCACGCCCATCACTTGATCCCAGTTGAGGGGAGGATCTGCCCCGTGATCGTAGCCGGCCGGCTGGTGACGATCGCGATCACGATGAGCCGGCGGCGTGACCCAGGGGGTCTTTCGGCAGAAATGACACATATCCAGGCGACGATCGCAAGCCGTGCACAAAGGAGTGCGCTGGTTGGGGGCCCACTCTTCGCGGGGGACCCGAACGGCTGCGTAACATTCGTCTTGGCCGTCCCCGTCGCAGAAGCAGCCGGTGAACAGGCCGCAATCCACGCAGGGACGGCAGAGCTGATCTGTGTCGCCGAAAGCGAGCGCTTGAAGGCCAACGTCGTTGCGAGGATCCCGCATACCGAAAAGAACAGATAGGGTGGAGAGGGTGGGATTTTTCGGTATGGCCCGATCGGCTATCGCCAAAATGGCCACGGAGAAGATAGATCAAGTCTGTTCCAACGATCGCGAAACTGATCTCCTAATTCCTACCCACCAGACCGATAATTAGGAGACCAGTTACTACGATCGCAGACGTTCGGTGCCCTCACTGAACAGACTATCGGCGATCGCACCTTTTTCATGCGACCGCAACGTGGGAGTCGGCCACAGTCGGATCATCAAAATTTCACTTGATCTTCACAAGTCCGATCGGACCCCCGATCGCCGAGGGGTGCGCCATGGCATTCGCCACAGACCGCAACATCATCCGATCGGACACATCAGACAAGCGATATTCCCAGGCCCTCAAACTCCTTTCGGAAAGTCCGAGAGGACAGTGATCCAACCACACATCAGACCTGTAGCGACATCACCACGAGAGGGATTATCCGCCGGGTTCGAATCGGTCGGTACCCGATCGATATAAACAGAGCACCTAAGCTCCAGAACAAGCTCCCAGAAAATTCCTACGAGCTCGCAGACGTCCTCTTTTGCAGAGTAGCCTTTGATCAAAGCTGCCTCTACAGGCTCGGAATCGATAAAGAGGAGGACCAGCTTTCCACGGATCTCTTCCCTGAAAGTCTGTATCGCAGCGACCGCGGCCAAAAGTTCGATCATGCAAATTTGGGTTTTCCGGGGGAACCACCTCGACATGATCTGCCGTGACACCCCCGAGGCGAATTGCCTAGGCTGATCGTCCCTAGTGAACATCACTCCTCCAATCATCTCAGAAGAGGGATCCTTGGGGTTCGAGCTCGGCGCCGATCCATCCGTGAAAATCACCACGTCGGACTTCCGCGGCCCCGAACTGGGGATAGGCCTCGGAGGCCCATGCATCACGAGCGTCCGCCACTTGTAGAGGGAGTAGAGGAGAGCAGGCGATAGGCTCGTACTGACCGTCTTCCGGGAGTATTGCCTCTCCGACAGAGATCTCAGGAAGGCTCGGCCGATCTTCCCCCAGAGCTGCGAAGCGCCGAACATCAGCTTTCCTCTGAGCTTCCCGGCTTGGCCGGGAGACATCTCTTCGTGTTCCAGGATCGACGAGATCTCGTCGAAGAGCTCCTGCTTCCTGGACTTCTTGATCTTGAGCAAGTACTGATCGAGGTCATAGGTCACGCCCAGGATCGTGGGATCCGAGCAGAGCTGGAGCTTCTGCTGATCGAACCGGGCCCCGAGCCACCAATGGACCTTCTCGGCCAGCGCGAACGCACTATCTGCCGTGGCCTCCGGCTCGAAGCCGTACTTGTCGTCATAGAAGTTGAAGCCGGCCACGATGAACACGCGCCTTAGAATGTCGGTAATCGCAGCCGAGCGGCGGTTGTAGTTATAGACGGCCGAGACCAAGCCGAAGGAGTGGCCGACCATCACGAAGAACGCCACCTTTCCCGTGGCCGGATCCTTCAGAGCGACCACACTCCACTTGCGATGGGCCGGAGAGATCGGCACCTGCCGATAGGCTCGCCGCTCGTCCAGGACCCAACCACGTAGCGGGGACTTCGGCAGCCGCGAGCGCAGCCACTTGATCACCGCCACGTTCGCGTCCGTCGAGGGGAGTTCGAGTTTCTCGGTGACGATCGTCGCCATGTTGATCCCATTTGAGGTAGCACTGTCAACTCCCCTGACTTTGTTCTTTTGAACCACTTCAAAGCGCTGAGTAGGGATCCAACGATCATCGCCGACGAACTCCGAGACTTCGGCCTCGTCGAAGAAGGGACCGATCGCCGACCCTTCTCGAACATCTTCCATGGTCCCTTCCCAGACCTTGGGAGAGTGCTCGGTGATCGGAGATTTCCGAATCGCGCCTAACACCTTCGATCGAAATTCCCAGGCCCTCGAGCGAAGGGCATCAACCGAGAGATGCTCCGCATGAGGTTTGCGATCGGGCTTCCATCGGTGGGAGGAGGCAATATCGCCGACGATCGGCATGCCCGCCATGATCTGATCTACCAGGTCAGTGTCACTGCATTTGGCCTCATTCATGAGCTCCCGCCAAAGGGCGACGTGGAAAAACTGACCCATTTCCAGTGGACGATCGTCTGGGCCGCCGCGAAGAAGACGGCGCAAATGCCGATCTGGTATCTGCTTGAGCAAGGAGTCAGAGGACGGGAGCAGATCCTGAGCTCGCCGTTCCCAATGCTGCAGAAGAGAGGCTCGACGATCGCGCACTTGAGCAGGATCACGAACAATTTGCTCCAGAACATCAAGGAGGTCTGGGTCGATATCCGCGTCCTTTGTGAACGGGTGCGTAGCTTCCAAGGCGAAAGCGATCGCTTCACCCGGGTGCATCTCCGTGCCGATCAGCGGAGCCACGACAGACTTCTTCATCTGGTAACCCGCGGCGACGGCCTTCTTGCCGGCCGATCGTTGACGATGTTCCGCGGCTTTGACCGGGGCGCCATGGGGCCGCTTCCGATCGGAGTCCGGGGTCTCGAGCGCAAAAGTGAGAGTTTGCCAGGACTGATCCACGTGATCACCTGTGTTCACCGGCGCCGGCTTGAAGCCCAACTGAAGGAGTTGTTCGAACTCGTCGGCAGGGATCCGATCGACCCCCTGCACTGAGTACACGGCGAGGACCACCCGAGTTCCGATCCAGGGCAGAGTC